ACGGCTCACTTCCTGGTCTGTCACATGCCTGGGGTTCTCACCAGCCTTCCCGGTCGCCCATTTTCTCAGTGACATTCACTGCTGACTCACTTGGCTTGTGGTCAGCTCTGAACCCAGGGTCTTTTTCAGCTCTCCCTTTACCCCACCAACACGCCCCAGCTTGGGTTTGTGGCGTGAGAATGGGATCATTATTAGAGAACATTCTGTTTAGGTGGCCCTTCTCAGGGAGCCAAAACCATTGCTAGACTGGCAGCTTCATGAGTGCAGGGGCCATGTCTACCCTGACCACTTCCATTTCCCCACCATGTAGAACAATGCCTGATACAGTAGATACTTAGTAAATATCTGTTGAATGAATTTGTGTATTTTGAACTGGTCTCTGTCTTCCAGGAGATTCCCACCTGCTCTGGGCAGCATCCTTGGAAAAACAGATAAGCAAAACCTTGAGACTCTAATTTACCAATAAGTGAGCTCTAAACTGATTCCCTCAAGTACAGGGCAGTGGAAGGACCGTGGCCTGTGGACTCGGACTTGGGTTTGGATCCCAGTTCTGCTAATCATTGGCTTGGTGACTTGGAGCTAGTTGCTTATAGCTGAGCCTTAGTCTTCTCCCTGGAAAAATAGGACATCAGTATCTGCCAGGGTTATTATAAGAATTAAATATATGTGTGAAAGCGCCCAGCATGGGCTGGAAGTGATCTTGGTTTCGCATCATTCCCTCTGTCCGGAGCACTGACCTCCTTTGATCGCCCTTGCCTCCTTTGGTTCAAGTCTTAGCTCCTCTCTTTGCCCTTTGTTCACCCAGCCTTCCTCCCCACCCGCACCCCCACCCACAATGAAGACATGCTCTGCCTGAGGCCCAGCACACTCAGCAAACATTTGTGAACCAGCCCCTCAGAGAGGGATGCCTACAGGGACCAGGCATATAGGAAGAAAGCAGGCTGGGTGGGATTGTTAAATGAAATCTCCCCCTTTAAAATTCTTTTTTCATTTCCATTAAATTAAAAAGATGTTTTAACTTTTCATTTTGAAATAATTCAGACTTGCAAGAAAAATTGCAAAAATAGTACAAAGATTTCCCATATACCCTTTACCCAAGCTTCCCCAAATGTTACATAACTGAAAGATCGTTACCGAAACCAGGAAAATAATACTACAGGGTCCTCTTAACTAATCCACAGATCTTATTTAGATCCCAGCAGTTGTCCCCTTGATGTCCCTTTGCTGATGCAGGACATCCCTCATGATTCAGTCGTCATGTCTCTAGTCTCCTCCAATCTGTGACAGTTCCTTAGTCTTGTCTTTCATGACCTTGATACTTTTGACAAATGCTGGCCAGTCATTTTGTAGAATGACCCTCAGTTTGGGTTTGTTTAATATTTTCTCATGATTCATTTGAGGTTGTGCGTTTTGAGCAAGATCCCCACAGAGCGATGGTGTGCTGTCCCCAGTTCGTCATATCAGGAGGCACATGACATGTCTCCTTACTGGTGACACTCACTTTGGTCACTTGGTTAAGATGATGTCTGTCAAGTTACTTCACTGTAAAGTTACTCTTTTTCCCTTTGTAATTAATAAGGATTTTGTGGGGAGGTACTCTGAAAGTATTTAAATGTCCTGTTCCTCATCAAACTTTTGATTTATTCATTTCTTTACTTATGTCTATATAGACTCATGGCTTCCTGTTTTACCCAGTGGGTTGCAATCTGTTACTCTCACTAATGATTTTAATGCTCACATTGTCCCTTCTTTGGCCACTGGGAGCCCCTTTAAGCTGGCTTCTTGTCCTATTGATATGTCCCCATCATTCTTTGAGTACTTTCTTGCTTTCTGGCATAAGAAGATGCTCTGAGGTCATCTTGTATTTTTCTTACCCAGCCCTGGAATGAGGCGTTTTTTCAAGGGACTGATTCCTTTGAGCAGAGAATGATATTTAAAAGCCAAAATTTGAGTGCCAGATGTGCTCATTGCTATCAGGCCCTCACCGTTCCTGTACCCTCTCTATGGAAAGAGCTGGGAGAGTATATGTGTATATGATGTGTACACACGTGTATATTTCTCAGTTTCTGTATGTTGAAAATCGTGAATTCACACTGATACCTCCATGTCCACTCTAGCAGCACAGGGTTTATTCTACTTTTCTCTCTGTTTATACCTCCCTTCCCCACCAATGAGGCAGCTGGCCCCCATTATCCTCATTATATTTACATATTTGGTCAGTCTCCTGTATGTAACAGTCTCTTATCTCTTCCCTCCTCACCCCTATTGGGTTCTAACACTTTGCCCCAGGCCACCCCCACCTCCTCACCCTGAGCAGCCTCTGACTTCCCATAAAGCTCCAGGTTTTGAAATGATGGATCATATATTTTTTACTGTGAGGCCCAGTTTCTGCCTGTCAGTGCTCGAGAGTGACCTGGGATTGACTGGACCAGGAAGCTGGATTGGGAATCCCTCCCACCTCCCCAGCCTCCACTCTCTCCATCCCTGTCCTGGCTCCACGTGCAGGTAAATGCAGTGCACATCATGTCAGGGTTGGGCCTCTTGGCCTCTGCTCTGCTGTTCTCGCCCCCTGGACTGCTCTTTGCTTCCACCCCCCCTTCCTCCCATCCTCCTGCTCTGTCCAGACGATCACCTCCTGCAGGAAGCTTCACGGACCACCACAGGTGCCTTTCTGGGTTTCTCCGGCACCTCCAGCTAACCCACGATGGAGCCCCACTGCATTCTCCTTCCATTTCCTTCTTTGTCTCTGCTGCTAAACTACAGGTGCATGGGGCCGATTTTATCTCCATGTCCCTAGTGCTTGAACGAGATCTCAGCACACAGTAGGTGCTCTTGAATGGTAGTCAAATGAGCATTAGTAATGGTAACAGCAGATACTCACATAGCTTCCTGGGTGCCAGGCACAGGTCTAAGTGCTTTATATGCTCCGAGTCATTTGGCCCTAACTTCTGTGCTGCGAGATAGGTACTGCCGTTGCCCCCATTCCACAGACAGAGGAACTGAGGCACAGGGAGGTTAATGACGTGCCTAAGGTCGCACAGCGGTGGGGTTCTGTTTGAGCTCAGGCAGGCTGACTCCGCAGTACCTGCTCTTACCTTCCATGTGCCTCTCGAAGTTAAAGGGGTCAGCGTTTTCAGAATAAAGGAGGTGAGTGGGTATGAATGGCTGTCTCATGAACCACCCCCATTACACTCCCAGCCCCAGTTGCTAGTGCTCTTAGGGGCCCGAGTGCAGGCGAGTGGTGGCGGAGCAGACCTGAGAGAAAGTGATACTTTTTAACTTGGCAGCCTATAGGAATTTCTTCTCCCCTGAGGTCTTAGGAAATGAGCACATTTCACGTGTAATTAGAGTGAACACCCGGGAGTTGAGTATCAGATCTTATGCAAGATTTCCAAGTCATTGCGCAGGGGTTAGCAGGGCGCACATTGTTTCCCAGTCACCAGCCTGTCACCCCCGAGGGCCGGAGCAGCCTGCCTCTTCCGAGCCACCTTCTACCTGAGGGCCTGGGAACACTGGGCTTGGAGCTCGGTCACTTGAACTCGGCTCTGTGGGATCTGTCTGCTCAGGTTCAGGGGAAGAGAAGGAAGCCAAGTTCGTGAGGAGCCTCTCCCACGAACCCTATACGTCAAATCCTCTGCAGACATTTATTTCCCTTACTCCCCAATAGCCTGGCAGGGTCTCGTAGTAGTAGCCCCGTTTTTACAGACGAGGAAACTGAGGCTCAGAGAGAGAGTCATTTGCCCGAAGTCACACCGTGAGGAAGAAGACCAGCCAAGATTTGAACCCAGGGCGGTCTGGTTCCTGGGCCTTGACTCTTAAACAGCTGGCCAAAATTACACCCATATCTGTCTTAGTCCAAAACCCCAAATTCTTCCACCACACCCCACCACCCCTGTCTGCTCTGGTGGGATCCACATGAAAGAAAGGCATCTGGTCTGCGTCTGGGGCGGAAACCCAGCAGCTCTCTTGCAATAATAAACAGGTAGCAGCCATACTTAGTGGGATATACTGACACGTGAGATGCCCTTATATTTGTTTCATAAAACATGTTCTTGGGTCAACCCTGGTGGATCGTGGTTGCATCCAAAAGTAGTCTGCCTCACCCATCTCTGAGATGTGGCCTTTCTGAGTTTGGAAAAGCACATGGAAACCACCCTGTCAAGGAGTTGGAGATTCCATCCAGCTGGTCCTGGTCCTTTTCCTTGGGGTAGCCAGTCAAGGATCTCTGGGGCAGCACAGAGGCCCTAGGCCCACTCAGGTGTCTGGGATGGTTCTGGGTGGACTACATTCGTTGAACCATGTAGATTAAGCACCTACTGCATGCAGGACATTTGGAGACAGTAAACCCACATTAGATGGGAGCCAGAGCCATCACGAGTGGATGCTGAGCCTGTGGGCCCCAGGCAGGATTTTATGTTAACCTCTGGAGTTAAGAAGAATCTCCCAGAAGCAGGAGCTGGGGAAGGGGGGAGTGGAAATAGGAGGGGAGGTGGAGGGAGGAAAGGGAAGAGGGGGTGGAGAGGTGACGCCAGGCAAGAATGCAGCGCCCTCACAGAGCTCAGGAAAGACTGTTTCCCCACTCCCTTCAGCATCAGAGGAACCTGAGACCCTGGGGGTTCAGTTCATTCCACAAATGCCTGTTGAGTGCCTGCTGTGCGCCAGGCTCATGCTTGGGTCTGGGGATGGGGCTGGGGACAAAACCTGACCAGGTCCCTGCCCTCTTGGGGGTTACATTCTGATGAGGGGAAGACCAATCAAGAAACAGAACAAATGAGGGGTCAAGGTCATCTTGGGGGGTAATAGTGTTGTGGGGAAGTGCAACAGGGCAGTGTGGGGGCAAGGTCCCATCAGAGGGGTGTCCCACAGGCCTCTTGGGGGAGCTGGTTCTGAGAGGAAGCGTGGCTTGTTGACCGCGGGGCACACCAGCCACATTGTTGCCCCTGCTGCCTGAGACCTGCCCTTTGCACCCCCCTCACCCCTGTCTCCTTTGTTCTCCGCAGGTTTGACATCTACAGGAAGGTGCCCAAGGACCTTACGCAGCCGACGTACACCGGGGCTATTAGTGAGTAGCCGCCCTTCTCACTGTTGTCCCTCCCCCTCCCCACTCTCCCTATGCAGAACTGCTGGGCCAGGGAGGGAAGAAGTGATGGGCATCTTGCCAGGCCCTTCATGTAGTGCCGCATCTCATCTCTGTCCTCACCGTAACCCTGGAGGTGTGGGCATCATCTGTTTCTAGAAGGAGATGCCAGAAACCATCAATAGTAGCTGCCCTGGGAGAGGAAACGGGGCCTCCGGGGTGGGAGGGAGACTGACTTTTGACTTCATACCTTTTAGACTATTTGAGTTTTTGACATAAGCATGTTTCTGTGCATTTTAAAAAAATAATAATCCCACCCAGATTTTGGTTTCCAAATGCCAGTCTTCAATAAAAGGACCCAGGGCTTCTTGGAGAAATGGCTGATTGCAGGCCTGGGCAGGAAGAGTACAAAATAAGCCTGGAACACCTTGTACCGGAAAGCAGAGAAGTGCTCAGAGCCAAAAAATGATGGGGCCGTGTCAGCAGGACACAGGAGCCAACCTGGAAGAGACCAAAGACCAACGCTGGCCAATTTGAGTAACAAAATAAATAATGGCATTATTGGCTTATAACCCAAAGAATTAAGAAAAAAAGTCCATGAGTCCATTCTGATCTAAGTAAATGGGGAGAAGGGCTGAGTCTTCCTTACAGAAGAATTGCAAATAATATACATGAATATGTCCCCCTCCAGGAAGTAGAGCTGAATGCTCTCCTGGAGTGTGGGCTGGACCTGGTGACACATTTCCAAAGAGTAGAGAATGGAAAGGGAAATGGAGCCTTCCTGTGGAGAAACTGGACTGCGTCGTAGCCGCGCTCTGAAGGTCAGCGCCGACCAGTGAGGAGTCATGCGGACGCCACGCACCCCCGATAGGATGCGATGGGAAGGGCACCCCAAAACCACAACCCAGTCTAATCAGGAGAAAGCATCAGACAAGCCCAGTTGGGGGACATTCTATGGGACACCTGACCAGTGCTCTTAGAAAGTGGCAAGGTCATCAAAACCAAGGAAAGACTGAAGAACTGTCACAGATTCGGGACTAGGGATGCGTGATGACTGAATGCAAAGTGGGCTCCCGGTGGGGTCCTGGGACAGAAAAAGGGCGTTAGTGGGGGATCGGTGGTCCAAGTCAGCCTGAAGTTTAGTCGATAGTGTCGCACAATGTTTCTTTCTTCATGTGGCAAGGGTGCCCCAGTTCCATAAGATGTTAAATGGGGGTGCTGGGGGAAGGGCGTCTGGGAACTCACTGTACTGTCTTAGCCTCTATCATCACTCCACAATGAAAAGTTTATTTTAAAAAAAGCAAACCAAAAGCGCCATGCAAGCAGGAATACTTTGCCCTCATTTTCCAGATGAGAAGGTGGACTTAGGGAAGTGAAGTGACTTGTCTGAAATTTCACAAAATGTGGGTCTCCCTGCACCCCCTGGCCTCTCCAGTGCTTGGTGGGGAGGGATCCTCCCTGCGGACTGTCCCCTGAGCAGGGCTCTTGGGCCGGGCAGTCAGGATGGAATCCACTGCTGCCTCCCAGGGCAGGCCATTGTCAGGTAGGGGGATGACCTTGGGGATCCCCCCACCCCGGCCAGCCATGCCCAGCTGTCCCCCACTCCAGCTCAGCTGTGAAGCTGTGGATACCTTCTTGAGCCCTGCATCTCCACATCCCTGGGGAAGGGCACAGGGCAGCCAGGCAGCAGGGCTCATATCCCACTGGCTGGGGTCCGGCGGAGCTGGGTTCATTCTCCCCTTGAGCAGCTGGGTGACCTTGGAGAAGTCACTTCACCTCTCTGAGCCTCAGTTTCCTGATCTGGGGATTAAATGAGATTGCACCTGTCAGGTGTGGGGTACGTGCTAAGTCCTCAGTGCATGGACAACACTCCTCTTCCCATCACTGTCCTCCTGGGGCCCACAGCCCACGAGCGTCTGTGACTGCAGAAGCTGTAACACTGTGCCTTGATCCTCATGGAAAGGATATTCAGGGGACCTGAGAGGGAAGGGGCTTGTTCATCTATCTGTTCAGCTAGTTTATGAACCTGATCAAAAAAATTCAAATAAGGCTCCCTGTCCCCTTCCTCCCACCAACCAACAGCTCAAACCTCTTCTCAGTTCTCAACAGTCTCTCCCTTGTCAAGTATGTTCAACGATCAAGTATGTATCCGAGAATTTTTAAAAAATCTATTCAGGCTTTGATATGCCTGTGTCATTGTTCTCAGCACAGACAGGAACATGCTGCACACCGTTCTTCTCTGCCCTTTTTCCGGCTGGTGCATCCTGGACGCCTCTCACACCTCTCAGCACACACATGGCCACCACTTCTTGTTTCCCGCTGTGTTGTATGCCATTATCTAGGCGACCCACCGATTATGTAACCAGCCCTCTGATGGTGGACATTTCTGATTCCAGTTTATTGCTATTATGGACATCCTTGTCCATATATTTTTGTGTCCTTGTATGGTTATTTCTGTAAGGTAGCTTTCCTAGAAGAGGAATTACTGGGTCAAAGGGCATGTGCCTTGTAAAATTTAGAAGGTACTGCCAGATGGCCCTCTGGGGATGTGATGGCGAATTCCCTTACACAAGAGGAAAGACGTGAGGCTTGGGAAGCCAGCCCTTAGCTACCATTTAGTGAACAAATGTTTATTAACCAGGTCCTGGGGCCAGGCCCCGGGCCAAGTCCTGGGACCACATTGATGAATAGGCCTCAGTGTTTGTCCTTGAGGAGCGCACGACTGAGCGGGCCGGCAGGCCCAGAAGCACATCGTTTCGTTACGTCGTAATAAGTGCTATTAATAACTGGAGGCACTGGCAGGGGCACTGGAGACTCACAGGTCGGGGTTTGAATTTTGCCTCCTCCACTTAAGCGGCCATGTGGCCTTGGACAAATTCCTTGACTTCCCGGAGTCTTGGGTCCAGTGCCCCCTGTGCAGGCTGCACCAGGTTTCCCACTAGCGAGTGTTCGCCGAGGGTCACATTCCTACTGCCCAGGGCCTGAGTCAGTTCAGAAGAAACCTGGAGTCAGAGAGCCTTAGTGTCTTGCCCAAACATGGATTGAAAACCCAAATCAAGCCTTCAGTATCAGAAGGCCTTTCTGGTTGAAATACTTCCTACCTGCCTTCATGTTTTTCATTCACTTATTCATTCATTCTTTCAACAAATGATTGTTTCATACCTTCTCTGAGCCAGGCACCGTGCTAGACCCTGAGGCCACGGTGGAGCTGAGACACCGTCTCTGTCCTCCCAGTCTGGGGACCAGTAGGGGGAGCAGACACAGAGCGTGTATGATCAGGACTATGGGACATTTGGGTTTCAGCTGAGCGGACTCTGCGCTTATCATGTCCACATTCTGGGCTGACCAAGCTCAGGTCCAAGCTTTGAACAAAGAACACAGCTTTGAACAAAGAACAAAGAACCTGAAAATAACCTTCCCAGCCCTGACCCCCACCTCCCATCTGGAGAGAGTTAGAACGTTGGGGCCTGTTTGCGGGCTTGGGGCAAGGAAGACATCTAGAAGACCTGGATTGGTCTAAGTCAGCACTGACCTACCAAAACCCCTCCGTGTGCTCTGCCTGTTGATCATTACGGCAGCCAATGGGTTGTCGGGGCGAGGGGGCGAGGGGCTTGAAAGTGATTCTGAAATGTGGGTCCTGTGATACTCCTCAGGAAGGGTTTCAGATTCCAAGGGAAGGCTGTTTTGCCTGCTCAGCGGGGTTCTTTTTCAAGAGGTGTTATAACTGCAGTTTGCAGGTGAGAAGGGGAAGGACACTTGCATTGAGAGCCGATCGTCCGTGGTGGGTTCATCCAGCAGCTGGAGAAGACATTGGAAATGAATTCTATGCCATACAAACAAACAAACAAACATGGCCCCTCTGCATAAACTGACGTGCACCTGCTGAGACGTAGGTTGCTGAGTGAGCAAAGCGCGGTTGAGAAGGACGTGCACATCACGCTGCTGTTTGCCCAGAGGAAAAAGGACTTCTACATCGATGCTCGTATGCGTGTGGAAGGACCCAAGACTGTAACAGCAGTACCTCTGGGCCAGGATTTGTGAGTCAGTGAGAAAGAGACTCAAACAGTATGCCTTTTTATACAAGCTCAACTATTTTTCTTATCGTGTGCATGTGTTACCTCTTCCTAAAAAAAAAAAAAAAAAAAAAAAAAAAACAGTAAAACCCTTACACTCTGCCCCATGCAGCTTTTTCAAAGTTTGGAAGAATTGGGGAGTAACTCTAGTTGCCCCTTGTCTTTGAAGCTTGGTGGAGACTCTGGCTGTCTCCAAATCCTGCCCTTCACTTGGAGCCCGAGTTCTTGGGGTTCTCTTCTTAGGGCATTGGTTCCAGAATGCAGTTTCCAGTCCTGTCCCCTCCCGTCCGATGTGGCCCCAGGCCAGTCTCTCCCTCTCTCGGAGCCTCCCTCTCAACACCCTCGGCGTGGGCTCCTGCCCTGTCACGTGGGTGTGACATGACGGGAAGCCCATTGACGCTCCTACTGCAGGTGCCCAGCAAACACGCGTTCTTCCCTCTTCACTCGGGACGCATCTTGGGTCATTGTAAGATAGATGGGTGACGATAAATAGGTGGTTTCAGCGTCCTCCGTCACGATGGCTCAGCCAGTCCGGGTCAGGCTGCCAAGAATGTAACAGAATCAGCAAGTGGGACTGGGAACTTTTTTCTTTGCAGGAAACGAAGGGTCAACCAGTCTGTCAAATCACCTTCCCCAAATCGCCAGACCCTCCAAGGTCTCCCTGATGAAGGTCATAATAATGAGCTAATGCTCGAGCTGTTATTGTCTGCTAGGCACCGTTTCAAGCCCTGTGTTGTGGAAATTCTCAGGGCATCCCTGTAAGGCAGGTAGTACCACTGCTGCCATTTTCCAGATGAGGAAACTGAGGCAAGGAGAGGTTAAGTAACTTACCCAGGGACACACAGCAGGTTGAGTAGTGGGGCCACACCATGCAAGCCCTTGCCCACTGCATGCCTCTGTGGTAAGCCCAGATAAGGCAGGTTCAGCCCTCATTTGTACTCTGGGGCTGACTGCCTTACAGGATACCTACTGTTGTCTCCTGTGTACCCACCCCCAGGCTGGGCACTGGAGCTGTGCCATTTTTGCCTTTTGGGCTATCAGTCTAGTGAGAGAGACAGCTACAGATAACCAATAAAATGTGGAAAGTGTTAAAATAGAGGCTGGGAATACAGAGGAAATAGTGACCAGCTCCTCTTCTGGGGGTTGGAGGAGCTTCCCACCAGAAGGGACATTTGAGTTGGGCCTCAGCCTGGGAGGATGAGTAGGAGTTCACCAGGCAGACAGGATGACCGTGGAGGAGGAGGGAAGATGGGGAAGGTCACTCCAGCAGAGGAACCGCAGGTGTAAAGGAAGCATGTTTAGGGCACAGCAGGTAGCTCGGTGTGGCTGGGTGGTTGGATGTTGGAGAGTATCAGGAGCTGAGGCTGGAGACGGGTCGAGGGCCATACCCCAGGGTCCTTGGATGTCCTGCCCCAGGGAGTGACTCCAGGGGCCACAAGTCATCATCATCAGGGGCCAGGCAGGTGAGGTTAATCCGAGTGCAGTGGCCGACGCTGGCACTCGGTTCCACTCTCTCTGCATTTCAGACTTGTAGGACTATTCTTCACCTCTGTAAAGAATTGTCCCTTCTCTTGAAGCACAGCAGTCGGTGTCCTCGTTTTCCTGCCTCTGATGGGGACACGGGCATGTGTTGACTGTACCATGGGGAGTGGTGATAAATGGCAACAGACACTCCACCTTGGCCTCAGCATCAGGAAGGCAGGAGGGAGTGGTGAGGCCTGTGCAAACTGGTGAGCTCAGACCTCGTGTGGGAACAAGGGCTTGAGTATTCCAGAGCAGCCAGAAATCTGGACTTTTATGTGAAATTGCCGGATTGTTCCATGTCGACTCCAAATTTTAAAATATATATCTCTCAAGCCAAACAGAACACCTCTGTGGGCCACCAGATTGCAACCTCTATTTTTGACTGACCTCTTCGTTAAAGTGCTTTTGTGAAAGAAAGCCGGGCTGGCCCCCAGGGGGATTGGCCTATGTAGGGGGTCGGTCCACATGGGAGGGTCAGATTAGTGCAAAATGTGGTCAGTCTCAGGGGCCGGCCTGGTGGCATAGCAGTTAAGTTCGTGCGCTCCGCTTCAGCGGCTGGGGTTCACAGGTTTGGATCCCAGGCGTGCACCAATGCACCGCTTGTCAGACCATGCTGTGGCGGCGTCCCACATAAAGTAGAGGAAGATGGGCATGGATGTTAGCCCAGGGCCAATCTTCCTCAGCAAAAAAAAAGAAAAAAGGATTGGCAACAGATGTTAGCTCAGGGCTAATCTTCCTCACAAAAAAGAGAAAAAAAATTAAAAAGAAAACAAAGAATGTCAGTCTCCCTTTCTGGGAGTGGGGCTGCTGCATATTGAGGCCAAGAGTAGGAAGGGGCTTCGGAGGGTCTGCGGGGCCTCTTCCCCCTCCCTCTAAGCAGCTTGTCTCTGAGGGCAGGAGAGGAGGGGAAGGGAGGGGCCGGCCTCCCTCCTTCAGTGCCCACTGCCCTTAACTGTGCGTCTGTGTTGTTTCTTCCAGTCTCTATCTGCTGCTGTCTCTTCATCCTCTTCCTCTTCCTTTCGGAGCTCACCGGATTTATAACGACAGAAGTGTAAGTTACATCCCCCCGATGGCCCATTCTAGAGCTTTCTGGGACCCCAGATGAGAAGAGGGAGGAGCTTTAAAAAGAAGAGACCTCTGAACCTTCCAACGCCTGTTTCCAAGCCTGTGGTGTCTGTCACTCCTCTGTTTCTTAAAGGGGTTTTAAAGTTAGAGCAGAATTGAACGTTGCTGTGTTAAAGCCAAAGAGAAAATGTTGGTTTCCTTCTGTGGGGGCCTCCTGGGCCCGCAGATGAACTGCAATCATTTGCTCATCTGTGCCGTCCCTTTGTTTGGCCAGTGGGCTTTTTTTCCTCTGAATCATCACAGGGTCATTTGATGTAAAGCTGGAAGAGTTCAGAGAAATGGGTGCAGCTTCCTACCCCGGGGGGGCGAGGTTGCTGACATCAGAGCCCAGCCCCTCGGCAAAGCCCCCTCCCCTGTGCTCGGGCCCACACGGTGAGGAGTCAGCGTGGCTTCCTGGCAGCGACTGACGCACTGTGAAGGCATCCCCGATTCCTAGAATCCTTCATTGTCTGGGTGATCTAGTAAACGCTCTGGGGCGTGTGTAACACAGAATGCCACTGGAATCATTCAGTCGCGGCCTCCTGGGACGCCCCTCGGAGACGGAGTCAGACCCAGCAGCTTCCTGCCTTCGCCACTGGCTTAAGGCTTCCAAGCCTCTTCATTTCCATGTTTACAGCCCAGAAAGTCATCACGGGGCTGGGCCCTGGCCACCCACTCCCCTGTTCAACATTGGAATGGTCTTTTTCACTCATGGAATTTCTTGGTTTCCTTCGCCTCCCTCGCAGCCACAAGACAGTAGGAAACTGACAACGTAGCTGCTTAGCCCAAGGTGGTCCTTGTTGCTGTATCCATGTTACCACCTTTAATCTTCAAACAGCCCTGGGAGGTAGTTGTCCCACCTTACAGATGAGGAGACTGAGGCTCAGAGAGGCGGGGGACTTGCCCACAGTCGTGTGGTTAGGAGGTGGCTCCCGAGGCCTGCCGGTCTCACCTCCCTTTAACTCGTTTCTGGATGTAGCTTCCCACCCTCCACTGGTGTGGGAGTGTTTGCCTTCTCTGTCCCTCTCATCCTGTTTTTAACCCTGGTGGCACCAAAGCTCAGGGGGATTTGTGGAGTGGTGGAAAGAGCACTAGACAGGGCATTGGGAAACCCAGGGCCAGGTCTCAGCTGGATTACCACTTTGCTCTGTGACCCTGGGCAAGTTGCCAAATCTCTCTGGGTCTCAGTATTGCTGGCCAAACAAGGGAGGGCAGATAAGAGTCACAGCTGCCTTCCAGGCCTGAGGAGGCTTGTCTGCTTCCCAAGGTGTGACCACTGACCATGCGGGGGTCAGAGAAAGGACTTCGTCTCCCACCCAGCCCCTAAAGGGGAGTGACTATCTGAGTCAAGCATCTTTCCCTTTGTGCACATTTGGGCCACTGCATATCCCAGGGTCACCCCATCATGAGTTGGAGGAGGAAGCAGGGAGAGCAGCAAGAGATTGAGACGCGCTGGTGCTATGAGGGACCTACTGTGTGCAGACACCTGCTGGTCTCTCCAGGCTGCACCCCATTGCCTGGGAGGAGGATTGCTGTGCAGGCCCTTCCTGTTCTGAGCAAGGTGAGAGGGGTATATTTGTGACAGCAGCAAGGAGGGAGCCCTGACCGTGTCACAGATACCAGGTAGGCGGCTTTACATGTTCCAAGCAGGGGCACTAGCAAGTGCAGAAGCCCCAAGGCAGGAATTACCTGGTTTATGTGAAGAGCGGAAAGAGAGCTGGCATGGCCAGAGCAAAGTGAGCGAGCAGGAGGGTAGAACACGGAGGAGGTGGAACTGAGTCAGGGCAGGCTGTGGACACTGCTGTGTATTAATGAGCTCCTTGGTCCCGAGCTTCCAGAAGTCGGCCCAGGCCTGCCTCATTCACCACTATGTGGTTCCACGCTCAGAGGAGCTGAAAATGCCGGCGGTGGACACGGATGGTCACCAAGCAAAGCTAGAATGTATCAATTAGTGATAAGGGCTCTCAAGGAAAAACAAAGCAGGGCAGGAGATAGAGCAGGTTTGTGATATTTTGTGAGGCTTAAACAAGATTATTTACCTGAAAGGTACTTAACGTAGCATCTGATATACTTTCATATCAATAGATCCATGTCTCTGCGTGCATTTATCCATTTCATTTTTATTCCCCATCTAACACTACAAAGGTTATAGGGCCACTGAGGACCTTTCATGTAATAAGTGCTCCGTGTGTATTAATTTCCTCGTCCCCTCCCGTGTCTCCTGCTGACATTGTGAGGGGTGGCTTGTTATCATCAGCTCAGCCCACAGTGAGACAGGGTGCTGAGGCCGTGGGCCCCCGACAGGTGAGTTCTGACATCGGAGCTTGCGACTGGAGCAGGTGGGGCCCCACCTGCCGTGTGGAGGGACACTCCAGCAGGCCTGACAGCTCACTCTGTTTACCCAGGGCAGGGCTGCTGCTTTCCCAAGAGCACGGTGTGTTCCTGCCGCTCTGCCCCCTGCCCTCTCCAGGACTTCCTCTTCCTGGCTGCTGGGGGCATTCTGGACACTCTGGTCCCAGCACACCCCTGGAGAGGAAGAAGGATGAGGGGTGGGGAGAGAGAAAAACGCTGGGGGCCGTTCACTGAGTGTGTGCCCTGTGTCCAGCCCTGTGCTAGTAAGTACTTCTCCATTTGCAGTGTAAGTGGCTGGAGAGAGGGAGCGAGGCGAGGATGAGAGGAGAGACCTGTCCAGGGCCAGAGGCTCCCTCTATGACCATGCAGGGACCCTAATGCCCCCTTTCTCTCTGTGGCCTCGTGACCAGGTGCAGGAATTGCCCAAAGAGAATCTACAGGGCTGAGGACTAAGGACTCCACAGAAAAATCCAGAGGAAAAAGGATTGCTCCTCTGGGCTCTTCCCTCTGTCAGAAGCTTCTCTGACCCCTGGGAAGCCCTGCCAATTCAGGAGGAACTGAAGGTCACAGTTCTTTTCCTTTTCTGGGTGGCTGGCTCTCCCTGGCAGTTTTGTGATCACAGTGGGTCAGCCCCCCCACCTGCCATGAGGTTGTAACCCAAGGAAATGAGGTCATCGCTGGTTGGGTCAACATGGCTCCAACCTTGGCCTGTGGTTATCAGTGACATAAGATGCTATTCTGGCCCGGCCCCGGAGGGAGGGAGGCCTGTTTGCGTGGTTGGACTCCAACCTGGGCTCTAGACAGGCCGTTAATTATCCCTGGGAAAGTGGCCCCACAGGGTGCTCTGAGGCTTCGTGTTTCCAGGGGAGCAGCCCCCTCTCCTTGGAGAACGTGGCTCCAGAACATTCCAGCCTTTACCCAGGCTCTGGCTGCTCTTAATTATTAACCTGGTGAGGATTTATAATAAGAAAGTGTAGTAACTGGAACTCTCCATTGATCATTTATAGCATAATACAACTCATTATACTTTCCAGTTATGATTTATAATAGGCAATCACGTGCCAGCACCTTTACAATGATTATCTCATTTAAGCGTCACAAAACCCCTTGAGTTAAGTCCTGCTGTTAGCGTTAGTCCCACTTCACAGCTGGGGAAACTGTGGAGGCACCAGGAGGCTAAAACCACAATGAAGTTAGTAAGTGGTGAAGCCAGAGTCAAACCCGGGTCTGTCTGTCACCAGAGCCCAGACTCGGCGCCCAGCACGGTCACCCGACCCTTTTCTGCCCAGAGCATTTGGGAGCCCCAGGTGCATGGGAGCCACTGCTCTTTGGTCAGAATAGTTGACCGGAAGACTTGGATGCACCCTTCTGGGGTGAGGTGGCTGCGGAACTCCAGGAAGCCATTGCCTACCCAGTGGGAGCTTGGAGGTTACCTTAACTGTGTCCTCACACACTCCGGGTAGCAGACCCAGAGTGGGGAGGCCAGTTAGGAGCTTAACCAGGTGGAGGAGCCGGACGTCTCCCTCGGAGCCCAGGTTACCCACTCTGAGACCTGGATTGTGAGCCAGGGTCAGGTGGAGAGACACGGAGGTCACGTGAAGCAGCAGTGGGAGGCCTGAAGGCTTCTGAGCGTGGAGGGACAGGATCGGGTTCATGCCTCAGAAGATGACCTCTTGTGAAGGGCTTGGGCCGGGGCGACCCTGGTGGCCAAGGCCCTGGTGAGGAGGCTAGGTGATGACCCGAGGTAGAGGGGCTAAGGGTCCAAGGACAATGACCACAGAGAAGGGGCTGGGGGCAGGACTAGGTGGCTGTGAAGGGATGATTTTGGAGATGCCTGGTGGGTAATGGATGCACTTACACCCGGAATAGTCAGGATTTAAAACTCAAGGTCCCGGAGAACTTGCTTGCATAACCTGCATCCCTCCCCTCCCCTCCCCTCCTCACCCCAGGCCCTTGCTGTCGGCCCCACTCCTGTGTAAGTTTCCATTAAATCAAATTATTAAGCATGGAGATCAGTGACTTTGGGCAGGAATCCAAACTATTCAAGTGTTCTTCTAAAAGCAAGTAAAATTGTTTTCCATAGATGTCATCAGACTCACACCTCAGCCTAGAATTTCACGGCCCTCCCTTACATTCCACCTACACTTCCCCACCCCTACCTCCTCAGTCCCTTTCTTCCTCTCTCCCTACATGGCCACTGCTTACTGACCCCCACACAGTCCGCCTGACTCCCTGACGCTGCCTAGAGTCCCCCACTTGTCCACCAGTGCACGTTGGTCACCTCCCTGGTTCATTCCGCAGAGGTGTGAGCACCTCTGTGTGGCCAGCTCAGGGAGCCCTGTCCTGGTGGGGGAGTCAGATGCTGCCGCCCACTGGGGTGTGGCAGGTGGAGGTGACAGAGGGAAGCTTGTGGAGCACAAAGAGAGTGGACCCCTTAGCACCTCCATGCCCTGTAGGGTGGGGTAGGGGTGGGCATCTGAAGATTATCAGAAAGATGGTGACTCCTGCGTCACAGGTCTACTTCGGGGCCACTTGCTCCTCAGTTTTTGATTCCTGTCCCATCCGTGTAATGCAGTGGAAAGAGTATGGCTCTGGGCTCCGGTGGCTCTGGCTTCAGATCCCCTGCCTCTGCCTCTTCCTGGCCGAGTGATCTTGGCCAGTCTTTTATCTGTCTTCCTCTGAGCCCTGTTTCTTCCTTGTGAAAAGAGAACAGTAACCCCTATTAAACACTGGCTTGCTGTGAGCATTAAATGTGGTGCTACATGTGAAAGCCCCCAGCTCAGGGCCTGGCACCAGCTGGGTGCTCAGAACTGGGACATCTTTGATTAGCTGTGAGCAAGGCCAGCTTTTATGCAGGCCTTAGAATATACCAGGGACTGCACTAAGCGCTGTACACAAGTTAGCACGTTTAACCCTCACTGCAATGCTAGGAGGTGGTACTCTTGGTATACCTGTTATTATCAACCCAGTAAACAGTGATGTTACTAATAACAGTAAAAGTAGTGGACGGTTACTGAGCACTTACTGTTTACTAAGGCTGTGCCAAATCTTTGTCCCCATTTTACATCTGGGGAAACTGAGGCTAGTGGAGGCAAAGCGACTTGCACTAGGCCAATCAGCCAGCAGGTGGCAGAGCCAGGATTTGAACCCTGGACTTCTTCCATGATGCTTTATTCTCTTTACCTAGAAGAGCCTGTGCTAGAGAGCTGAGTAACATACACACCCCTGCCCCAAGCTAGCCTACAGCTACCCAGCGGTCCTCACAGCCCCATGAAGTAGCTGGAATCCTTATCCCTTTTTTCTTCTTTCTTTCCTCCCTCCCTCCCCTCCTTTTTCCTTTCTTTCTTTTTAGTGAGGTGTAGGTGACTTACAAACAGCAGAGTGCAGAAGTCTTAAGGGTGAGACTCGGTGACTATTGGCCCATGTTTATACCCCTGTCACCATCACCCCATCAAGACAACTCCTTCTACCACCTGGAACGTTCCCTTCTGCCCCCTCCCAGTCAGTAACCCCCACCAGTATTCTGACTTCTAGTGCATAGATTGATTTTGCCTATCTTCAAACTTCATAGAGAGCTTTCCCAGTTTTACAGATGAGGAAACTGAGGCTCAGAGAGGTGAAGCAACTTGTCCCAGGTGCCCCCCCCCAAGTGGCAGAGCCAGGAGGTGAGCCCACATCTGTCTGCCGCTGCCCCATGGGCCTTCTCATCACCCACACTAGTGACAGGAGGAGTCAGGCCCACACAAGTCTCCAAACAGCAGTGAATCCACAGAACATTTATTTCCCCTCCAGGTAGGCCGATTGCTGGCCTTTTAAAATCAGTTCAGCCCCAGCCAATGATGTTAGCCAGCCTTGGCAGGCACCTGCGAGTGGCGGCTGTGGTCGGGTCTGCGACGCTGGCTGGGGGTGGCAGGAAGCCAGCGGCCCTGGAACATTTGCCTTGGACTCTGGAAGGCAGCTGTATTGACCTCAGCGGGTGGGCGGCACAGGTGATTGAGCCGTGTTTATTCCACAGCCCGAGGCCCTTCAGGAAGGCGCCTGGGAGCAGCCAGTTCTGGCCTTACGTAACCAGACTGGCCCCAAGCTCTGCAGGCCAGTGCGTTTTCCATCCCTCCCTGGCCCCTCGGCCCCTTTGTCCCGGGCGGCACTTCAGCCCCTGGGAGCCAGTGGGCTGGGCAAGGCCTCCTGGGGCCCCGAGGGTGAGCTCACCTTGGCGCCACACCTGGGATTCACCTGGTTCTGCGCTGAGGTCACCCCCAGAGGATTGCCAGGGGGTGACATCATCCCTCAGTGATGGGCAGTGGCCTCGCCTCCCAGGTGGGAAAGGTGAGTAGCTTCAAGAGTCTCACTCTCCCAGCAATCTCGTTACTCAACAACCCTCTCAAGTTTCGAATTAAGGCTGAGGTAGAAGGGCCGGCCTGGTGGCGCAGTGGTTAAGTTCGCGTGCTCTGCTTCACCGGCCTGGGGTTCGCTGGTTTGGATCCTAGGCACAGACCTATGCACTGCTTGTCAAGCCATGCTGTGGTGGCATCCCACATACAAAATAGAGGAAGGTTGGCACAGATGTTAGCTTAGGGCCAATCTTCCTCACAAGAAAAAAAAAAAAAAGACTGGAATAGAAGTTGGGAGCTGAAGGCTAAGGAGGAGCATTTGGCTGTGGAGAAGTTGATTCTGCCCCCGCAGAACCTCCTGTGATCCTGTTGGCTCTCCTGCACTGGCTCGTCTGTTCTTCCTGTCCTCTGATGGGGGCCAGTGCTGTGAGGCTGCCAAGCACAGGCTCCTGTCTCCCCTCCCCACACCCTGTGGCCTCAGAGGGCCAGGCCCCCCTCATTTTCTCCCTGGACCCAGGATGCTGAGGAGGAGAGGGAGGGGAGGCAGCAGGAGCCCTGGCGAGCCTGGGGCCCGGGCAGGAGGCAGGCCTGGGGTGGGACTCCAGCTCGGCCATTTCCTGCTGTGTGAGCTTGGGGATGGGACTCACCCTCTTTGAGCCTCCTTTCCTGGTTTTGCAGTGGGGATCAGGACGTTTCACAGGGGCAGATGGGATAACGTGAATGCACACAGGCCCCGATTGGGCCTCTCCTGGCTTAGTGGGCTGGAGGTGCAGCAGTCTGAAGGCTAAGCCGCCCCTGTCGCTCTCTTGTCTCTGGGAATATCCTGGTGACCCCTACAAGGAAACAAGTCCCAGGTATCCTTTTGAGCCTGCCGTTCCTTGTTAACTGAGCTCCAGCTGCATCACACGAGGAGCTAGGGGCACGGAGACCGGCTCTTAGTAAAAGCGAGTTCCCTTGCCCTGCTCCACTCATTCTTTCCCAAAGTGGCCGTTTACAGGGCCCTCCTAGAGTCCAGTTGTTTAGAGCCGGCAATCTTCCTTTACAGCCTGTGGACGGCACCCAAGGGGCCTAATTAGTGTTTAAAATAACCACAGCCCGGCCACCTCCAGCACTGCCCTGTCACTGCCCACTAGCTCAGCCTTTAAATTCAGTTCCCTCTCCCCGTGGGGAGTTATCTGAGAATCAGGAGTGGGCTTCAGAGACAGCCATCCGACATGCACCCAGCAGCTCCTCAGGGATGTCTCCTAGACACCTCAAGCTCAGCACGGCCACGGGAACTCGGTACTATCCCTCCCCACCAGTCCCGCTCCTGTTCCAGGGGCTCCCAGCCCAACGAATGGTTCCAGAAAGAAACGTGGCTGGCCCTCTGCATGCCTCCCTCAAACTACCCCCACACCCCGTGCATCAGCGAGTCCTGCCTGCCCGGCATCCCTCCCTCCCTCCTCTCCATCCCCGCCACACCCCGTCCAGGCCGCCATCTCTCACCTGGGCTACTGCAGCAGCCTCCCATGTGCTCTCCCTAATGCACGGTGGCCCCTCCGGTCAGTCGTCCTTGAAGCAGCCAGAAGGAGCCTATTAAAGGGCAGGCCTGTCCATGCCTCTGCACTCAGGGTCAAGTGTGAAGGCCTCACCGTGGCCCCGCCCCTTCTCCGGCCGCGTCACCCACCATGCTTCCCTGTGCTTGACACTGCAGCCACAACCACCTTCTTCCAGCTCCCAGAGCCGTGCCCTCCCACTCCCAGGCGTCTGCACACACCATCCCAAGAATTCTCCCTTCCTCCTTGTCAGGGCAGCCGCCTCATCCTTCAGACCTCAGCTCCCATCTCCTCAGAGAGGTCTGCCCAGCCCACTCTCCCCAGACGTCAGTCACCCCGATAGTTTCTCTCATGACGTGCCTCAGCTTTCCATCAAAGCGGTCATCACGGTGGTGTAAGGTATTGGTTTAGGAGACGAGTGGTGTCTGTAAGCTCGATGGAGGCAGAGACCACGGCTGTCTGTTCCTCACTGTCTCTAGTACCTGACTGGTGGTCGGTGCTCGAGAAGTATTTGTTAAATAAATGCATGTTACTAACAGATCCTATTGTGGCGCCCTTGTCACCAATAGCAAGGTGTCATGGCTGTTCATGGAGCCTCCTGCCCCCAAACTGTGCCTCCCCCACAAAGATGTCCACGTCCCCGTCCTTGAAACCTGCGACTATGTTAACACACGCGGCAATAGGAGCTTGACAAATGTGATTATGTCAAGGGTCTTGGGATGGGCTGACCATCCTGGGTTACCCAGGTGGGCAGGATGAAACCACAAGAGTTTATAAGAGAATCACGAGGTCAGAGAGGAGAGAAGATGCTCTGGGGCTGGCTTTAAAGATGGAGGAGGTGGCTATGAGCTGAGGTGGCCTCTAGAAGCCAAAAAAGGCAAGAAAATGGATTCTCCCCTGGAGCCTCCAGAAAGAGTACAGCCCTGCAGACCCATTTTAGACTTCTGACCTTCAGAAGCATTAAGATAATAAATGTGTGTTGTTTTAAGCCGTTAGCTTTGTGATAATTTGTTACAGCAGCCACAGGAAACGAATATATTACTCTAGTCGTGTCTCAGACCTGGTGCCCGCCCCAGGGCTTCGTGAGAGCTGGGACATTGAAGATGAGCACCCAGGGAGTCCCCGACTTCCCAGCTGGGTGGGAAGGGAGCTCAAGAGAGGAGGGAGTAAGGTGCTGTGTGCCCGTTGGTGCCAGGCCCTGATCCCTAATAAGGCCCACATTTCTCATTTAAGTGTTCAGACCACCCCATGAACAGTGGGTGGTGGTATCCCTATTTCACACATGGGTTCGCAGAGGGGAGTCACCTGCTCGAGTTCACATAGAAAGCGGCAGAGCCAGGACTGGAACTTGAGTCTGCCTGACACTGAAAGCTCTGCTCTCAGTGCCCGCCCTTCCCCTCCCTCTAGGTGGTAAGGCGAGCATTTGGAGAGCGCCCTCGAGGTGGGAGCCCTGCTCCCCATGCCGGAGCAGGCACAGACTTCTCTCAGATGGGGGTCCAGGTTATCTGAGCAGTGGTCACTAAGTGAAGTGGCCCTTGGCTGTCCCCTGCAGCCGGGACGGGAGCTCCCATCTCAGCGAAGGCTTCTCTACTTGTCTCCCTCAGCGTGAACGAGCTCTACGTCGATGACCCAGACAAGGACAGTGGCGGCAAAATCGACGTCAGCCTGAACATCAGTTTACCCAATTTGCACTGCGAATGTGAGTATTCCCAGCAGCCCTCTGCTCCAGCAGGACACCTCTGTAGGCAGAGCTGCATGTGCAGAAATGGCGAGATAACCAGGACAAGTGAAGCGAGCAGGGCACGCTGCAAACAACAGGTAGCATCAGATTCTCCCCACTCTTGGAGGGAGAATGTGATCAAATGTGCATGCACTTGGAGGTTTTCTGGAATAAAAAAAAAAAATCAAGAAACTGCTAACAAGGGTTGCCTCTGAAGAGGAGCCATGTTGGTGTGGGGGTCGGGGATGGCCCTTAGGTCAAGTTCCCAAGGAGCAGAGCCTGAGAGTCTCTGCACGATTTGTTGATTTGTTGAGCGAGGGCTCTCGGGAGGAGCCTGGAAGGGCGAGGGGGAAGAGAGGACAAGCAGAGGTGTAGTCTCTTCACAGCCTGATCCCACGGGGAGCTATGACGTGGGAATGACACCTCAGTGTGTCCCATCTAGCCCCAAGGGGGCCGGGCTGCTATTATCCAAATCCTTGGCTAATGGCTGCAGGGTGGTGTGTGGGGGAGCGTGGGGGTCACACAACCTCTCCAGCATCTCAAGGCAAGGAGACCTCCAGCCAGCCAAGAGCAGGCACCTGGAAAGGATGCAGCTCTGAGCTGTCAGCAGCCGTTGGGAAATTTCCTTTTTTACTTCTCACTCTATTTTGTTTGTTTTTTTCATTTGTTTCCACCAAGAGAATGAATTACTTAAAACTCATGGGAAGTTTGGTTTGGAGTCAGATTCTGGCTCCTTTGCTCACTAAAACTGCATGACCCTAATGAAGGTGACCTCTCAAAGCTTCAGTTTCCTCATTTGTGAAATGGGTGTAGTGCTGTCTAGTGCCTGAAGTTGTTGGGAGGGTCTGATGAGCTGGTTTCTAGACTTGTTAGGGGTCAAGTGGACTGGGTGTCCCCTCCTGGACTGGGGCTCTAACCATCCCTCTGCCCCAGCCTGGCACATAACCCGATGCAGGCCCTTCCTCTCCTCCCACCCCCTTCCTTCCTACCGAGAGCAGAACATTGAGTGGGTCTGCGGCCAGCGATAGGGAGAGATTCAGCCCTGTTTTTGCGTTTGGTGAGAATTACGTCACCATTTTGAATCCACAGTGGGCCCTGAGCCAAGGAACCTGTTGAAATAAGTTGGTTTTATTTTTATTTTTTCTCTTTCTCTTAGAAAAATAATTTGTCTGGCAGCTTCTCATTCAGGAGTTGGTTATGTCTCTGGAACAAGGAAATTCTTAGTCAGGCCAGAGGGCTGGGACCAGTGGGCCAGGGGAGGGAAGGGATGTGGTTCCAGGCTCCGTCCCAGCTCCGGGCCGTGGCCCAGGAGGGACCGGGCGACCTCAAGCTGCTGGCTGCACCACCCCCAGGTCCTGCTGCTCTGCCGGGCTATAACCCGAACCCAGGCGGCTCCCACTCAAGCCCCTCGCCCTGGCTTTTCTTTAAAAGAACTTCAAATTTTTACTATAGAAAAAAAAGCATGCTCATCATTGTACCTTTGGAAAATCAGAGCAGCAGAGAGAGGAGAAATCGCCCATAATTCCACCCCCCAGTGACAGCGTCGGTTAACATTTGACACCGTTCCGCCCTGTTGGCCCTCCTTTCTAAACATGGCTGAGATCATCTGCGTGTGCAATCTCATATCCTGCTTTTAAAAACAATATTTTTTGTTACACAACTAATACAGGAATACATTTTTTGTTTTTAAAAAAGATACATGTTCAAAATACAGAAATGTATAAAGAAAAAAGTAAAAGAAGTAGGTGTTCCCCAGGGTGCCATCCACCCCAGAGGAAGCTTCTGCTGGTACCCCTGTGTGTGTGTCTGTCTGTCTATCAACATCTATCACGTTTGGGTTTTTTTTTTTCTTTTTACATAATTGGGACCCAATGACATGGGACCTTTCCGGGGTTTCTTGTTTTTTCTGCTAACACCTTGGCGCTGTTCTTGCGTTACTCATACTATTAGTAAAATAATAACCACAGCTGCCGTATATTTGGCTCTTACGCCGGGCCGGGCCTTGTCCTGAATCCCTTGGCTGTGTTACTGCGTTAAGACGCGAGTGTTCTAGCAGAGCGGCCAAAGGGTGTGGGCCCTGGATCGAGACTCGGTGAGTGCCAGTCCAAGCTCCGTTGTTTCCTAGCTATGAAATCTCACACAAGTTACTTAACCTCTCTGTGCCTCAGTGTCTCCCAGTATAGGATGGGTCTGATAATATTATCTTCCCCACAGGGATGTTCAGGTGGTGCATTCTTACATAAAAGGCACTTAGAAAAATGTCCAGCACGTAGTAAGTGCTGTTTTAATTTTTAAAATCCTCCCAAGTCTAGGATAGAGGAGAAAGCTGAGGCCCAGAAAACTTAGGTGATTTGCTCAAGGTCCCGCGGCTAGTAAGGGGCAGAGCCAGGAACTACAGAGGAGCCCACGCTCTTAGCCACTGCCCCGCTCTGAGCTGCCCCTCCCCACATACGGATTTAGCTCATTCCTGTACCTACTGCACAGCATCCGGAGAAGGCTGTTCCATGTTCCATTGACCCGTCCCCAGTTGACAGGCAGTTGGGTTGCTTCCAGTTGTCACGATTTCAATTAAGGTTGCCCAGAGCAGGGTTGTGCACACGTCTGGACACGTGTGTGTCTGGAGGACGGGCTCCTGGAGGTGGAACTGCTGAGTCAAATGGGGACCTGCTTGCGTTTCTTTTAAACCGAGCATTGCGGCAGCAGCATCCCCACACACTACAAACGCGTGAGTGCCCTTTGTAATAGCTGCATCACGTTCCCTTCTGCGGCCGGGCCCTCACTCACTTCCCCTTCCCTATTGAGGAACACGGGATTGTTCCCATTTTTCCCTTTTAGGGTTGGCTCCCTTAAAATTGCTTCCAGCTGCTCTTTCTCTGTATTGCAACTTTTTTTCTAGTGCCTCTTGCAGGGAAATTCCTGCATTTCCATAGTTTACAGCCGCCCTCCCCCTTACCACTTGGGCCATCTCAAAGAATGCAGTTGGCCCATTTTACAGATGGGGAAGCTGAGTCACAGTGAGGGGATGGAGAGTGACATTGGAGTCAAGGGCCAGGACTCCAGGCCCCACGTTTCCCATTTAGTGAACTAAGGAACCCACAAAAGTGCCCAGGCTCCTGGAGGGCAGGGCCTGAAGGAATAGGCGTTGAGTAAAGGAGGTGTGAATGAATGAAGGATGAATGAATGCATGACTGCTGAGCCTGTCCACCCAGTGAACCCAGAGGCTGAGATAGTTAAGTGCTGATGTTTATTAGCACTTGCCCGCACTGTGCATCAGAGCTGGTTCTGAGCATGTCTGCACATATTAACTATGTGATCCTTGTAGTCCTCTGAGGAGGGTGTAGTTATCATCACCCCCGTTTTACAGAGACAGTAACTGAGGCAGCGAAAGGTTGAGTGCCTCAGCCAAGGTTGCACAGCTGGTAAAAGGCAGGGCCAGGATTCAGACGCCCTATTTTTTTTTTCCTTTTTTTAATGAGGGCACATTGGTCTATAACATTATATAAATTTCATGTGTACATCATTATATTTTGACTTCTATGTAGATTACATTTTATTTACCACCAAAAGTCTAGTTGCCATACGTCACCATACATATGTCCCCCTTTACCCTTTATGCCCTCCCCCACCCCCTTCCCCTCTGATAACCACCAGTCTATTCTCCTTATCTGTGTTTGTTTATCTTCCATGTGAGTGAAGTCAGGCACCTTTTTAACCCTGACCCTCCGCTGCCTCCCTGCAGCCTCATTCAGCAGTCATCACCCCTGTACCCCGCAGTCCTCCATCCCTGGCCCCATTAGCTGCTGGCTCCCCAGCTCTTCTCCCCTCTCCTTTCATGCCGCAGGCGGTGGCAGGAGATGGGGACATTGTGGGCCTGCTCCCTCTTGGTCCAGCCATCGCTTTGTCGTCCTCCTCTGCTGGCTGACTTCCTCTCTGTGATTCTGGGCCCCAGACCGTGAGCTCCATGGAGTGGATGAAGGAGGGGTCCTGAGAGGAGGGGCTGGTCCCCAGCCTCCCCCCGTTTCTCTGGGGGTCTCTGACCCTCTTCTGTCCTTGGCTCCTGCAGTGGTCGGGCTCGACATACAGGATGAGATGGGCAGGCACGAAGTGGGGCACATCGACAACTCGATGAAGATCCCGCTGAACAACGGGGCAGGCTGCCGCTTCGAGGGACAGTTCAGCATCAACAAGGTACGGAGATCCTGCGGGGGCCCCTCTTACCTGCTCCCCGTCCCCTCCATCCCTTTCCTCCCTGAAACTTGGTGGGGAGCCGTGCGCCCACTTGGCCTCCCCGCAGAGTGCCCGGCAAGCTGAGAGCCAGCATCCAGGCGCCTGGCGGTTCCTCCTGAGACTCTGGGTAGGGGTTCCAGGCCCCTGAGGTGTGGAGCCCGTTCCAGGCCCCTGAGGTGTGGAGCCCCTGCTGGCTGGTTCAGGAAGGGGCTGCTCTTCTCCCCACTGGGGAAGGCAGTGTGTGGTGAGAAGGCCTTAGGATTTGCAGCCGTGAGCTCGAGTCCCAGCTCTACCCGCTCTTGGCCAGGCAGTGCCCTACAAGTCACTTGACCCATCTTAGCCTCGGTTTTTACCTCTTTACGTTGAGGGTGTGCTGATGATAATAATATAATGATACCACCCACTTCACAAGGCTTTTTTTTTTTTTTTAATTTTATTTATTTATTTATCTTTCCCCCCAAAGCCCCAGTGGATAGTTGTATGTCATAGCTGCACATCCCTCTAGTTGCTGTATGTGGGACGCGGCCTCAGCGTGGCCGAAGTAGCGGTGCGTCAGTGCACACCCAGGATCCGAACCCGGGCCGCCAGCAGTGGAGCGCGCGCACTTAACCGCTAAGCCACGGGGCCGGCCCTTCACAAGGCTTGTGTGAGGATTAGATGAGCTATTACACATTCATTCATTCATAAAACTTTCATGGACCACCTTCTGTGTTGCAGGGTGGGCTGTCGGCTCTTGGGCAACGCAAGGAGTAGGTGGGCAGGGTTCCTGCGCTAGTGGAGAGAGACAGGCAGTGGACAAGCTGAAAAGCGCGTCCCTGGGCGATAGGTGCTGTGATGAGGAGTAAAGCAGGGGAGGGCGAGGGGTGGGTTTGGAAGCACCTGGTCAGCTCCAAAGGGCCCGTCCAGTCCAGGTGCCACCATCATCTCACTGCTAGAACCAGGATCTTCAGATCTTAAGGATGCGGGTGCCGTGCGTTTGGGGGTGCCAAGGAACCCCACGGGAGACTCTTCTCAGCTCCTTTTATGTATCATCGCAGCAGAGCCTCTCAACAACCCTGTGAGGTGGCACCATTTTACAGATGAGGCAACTGAGACCCAGAGAGGTTAAGTATCTTGCCCAAGGCCACACAGCTATCCCTGTGTCCCATGCCTCCCCTTCCCAGTCCCATCCAAACTGACCCACTGGCCACTCCTGGCTTCTGCTTGCCCTCCTGTAGTCTCTACCCAGAACACCCTTCCTGCCATCTGAATCAGAGGTTGCAAACTCACTGGCCACACTCAGCCCAGAGACAAGTTACATGTGTCCTGTACAGCCAAACACGTCAGAGCCAATATCGAGAGATTGAGAGTCCAGATTTCTGGCTTTTAGAAATCAGAGGCCCTGGCCACACTGGTCCCGTGTCCCACTAGCAGCAGTGACCTGGAGCTGAGGAGCCACCACCCCTTTAGACAGGGCGTGTGTTCTCCCTTCCCACAGGCCCCAGGGGGGTCTGCAGCCTCGGCCGGGTGCTTGGGAAGACTGGACCTATCTTTCTCTCCCCTAGTCTCAGGGCTCTCCCTTTCCATGGGGTCTCTCCATGTGGTCTTTCTAGCAGGGTGGACTTCTTCTGTGACAGCTCAGGGCTCCCTTGGATGCTAAAGTAGAGAATGTCACTTCTGCCACGTTTTATGGGTTACACTGAGTCACGTGCCAGCCCAGGTTCGGGTGGGAGGGGACTACCCAAGGGCGTGGGGGCTGGGAGGCGTGGTTCATGGGGACTCTTTCTGCACATTAGCTGCCGCACAGGGTCTTCACTGTGCCCTATGACTTGGATTTTATGGTGGCTGTGATGGGGAGCCATTTGAGGGTTTTAAGGGAAGCAGTGCAAGCGGATTTATGCTTTAGAACTACACTATCCAGTACAGTAGCCACTAGCTACATTTCAGTTAATTAAAATTAAATAAAATTCAGTCTCTCCATCTCACCAGCCACATTTCAAGTGGTCAATAACCACACGTGGCTAGTGGCTACTGTATTAGTGCAGGTATAAAACATTTCCATCATCAGAGAAAGTACTGCTGGACAGCAGGATCTTAGAAAGGTCTCTCTGGCAGCTGTGTGGGGGCACCTGGACGGGGCCAGGAGCAGAGGTCACGGGCAGTGGTGGTGGCAGTGGAGTTGGAGAGGAGCGGCCGGCTGAGGGATGTGGAGTCAACAAGACTCACTGATCAGCTGGATGAGGGTGGTGAGGGCAAGAGTGGAATCAAGGAAACCTTTTAGGGTTTTGTCTTGACAACCAAGTGGTCCCATTTTCTCCATATGGAAGCTTGTGAGCTCATGGATTCTATAGTAGGTAAGGCTGGAAATCACTGGTTCTATTCTGGACGTATTTCCTTTGGGGTTCCCATTAGAGGTGTTAAATTGGGAGTTGGAGGTGTGCTTCTGGAGTTAGGAGAGAGTTCTGGGCTGGAGATGTAAATGTGGGAGTCATTGGTGAATAGGTGACGTTGGCAGTCAAAGTCTGGCTCATTGCTACTCAGAGTGGGGCCCCCGGACCAACACCGGCGTCCCCTGGGAACTGGGTAGGAATGCAGATTCTTGGGCCCCGCCCAGAGCCACTGACTCTGTCATAACAAGCCCTCCAGGGGATTCAGATGCCACTAGAGTTTGAGGGTCATTGATCTAAGCTAGATTACCTAAGGAGAGGGTGTAGGACATTGTTCTAAACCTGGGGTCCACAGACACCCAAGGAGTGAGAATTGAATTGCAAAGTGCCTGTGAACTTCGATGGGGGAAAAATGACATGTTTATTTTTACTAAATTCTCACTCAAATTTAGCATTTTCTTCCATGATGAACATAGGCAACAAACCATAGTAGCATTAGCAGCACTCCTGACTTTGCCACCAATAGAAATTGCCAATATTGACGTCCCATTAAAACTGTTGCAGATAATTTCAAGATACGTTTATATCACCACCACTTGGAAATTACAGTAATTAGTTGACCTATGACCAGGTCTTGTTCTTCACTGCATTAATAAAGAAGCATATTCAAATATTCTTTTTTATATTTTAATATCATTTCTTTCCTTTGTGATCCTCTGTATGTTATGCATTCAAAACATTTTAAGCATTTAAAACATAGGTGTCCCAGACTGGCGAAAGGTCCACGACACCAGAAATATAAGAACCTAGGTCTCTGTCGGAATGCAGTTTGAGGACTGATTTTTGGTGCACTCCAGTGTTTAGAGGTCAGGAAATGGGGAGCGGAGTGACAAAAGGTAGGACAGGGAGCAGCCAGACAGGTAGAGGAAACCAGGCGTGGGCGGGCCCGGAATAGAAGAGAACACATCAGAGAGTAGGCCCGGTGCTGCGAGGGCAGGGCGGACCACTGACCCCGGTGTGAGGGGAAAGCCGACGACGTGGGGGAGAACGGGGCTGCTGCACAGCCGGTTCTTGGGACCCAGGCGCAGTGGAGGGTTGCCTTGGAGAGGAGGGAGGGCAGGGCTGTGGGCACAGGGCAGGGAGGTGGGTGAACTGGTGGTGGGCCAGGCTTTTGTTCTACCTCTGATACCGTCTCTCTGTCCCCACCTCTGTGCCTGGAGAGCTGCTGTTCGTCCACATGTCTGGTGGACGTGCGCCCCTTGGGAAGCCAGCCCTCCCCTTCCCGTGACCACCCCCTCTGTCATGACCCTTATGTTGCTATTATCTGTTTCACTTCTTGACTTCTTTGACCATTGCCCCCCGCCCTTGCTGATTCACTTGTACGTCATACTATTGAGTGTCTGCTGTATGCCTGGCTCCACACTTGGCACTGGGGTGCAGTGCCGAGAGAAACAGCCGTGGTCCCTGCCCTTGGTGTCCCCTATGGTCTATTACAGGGTGACAGCCAGCCCACAGGTAAACACCAGAACAAGCCAACATGTCATTCTGATGAAGCAGCCATGAGAATGAAGGGGGTGCTATGATGGAGAATAAAGGAGGGGACCCTTTATGGTGGAGACAGGATGGTAAGGGAAGGCTCCCAACCGTGGGGACCTCCCCTAGGGGATGTGATCACCTGGGTAAAAACACATGAAGCCCCAGCCAGTGAACAAGGAAGGACCAGCTTTATTCAGCACCCCAGCGTGGGGTGGGCACAGGAGACGGCCAACGCCACACACCCCCCCACCTTGGGAAACGTACCTAAGACTGCAGTCAGCGCCCCCCAGACAGGCTATGGTGGGGGCCCCCAGCTGGCTGGCTCTGGGTGAACTGAAACTTGCTCTTTGGTGTCAGACAGACCTGTGGTCAAGAATCCTGGCTGTGACGCTCGCTGGGTGGATGACTCTGGGCAATGTAGCTTCTCTGAGCCTCAGTTTCCTCATCTGTAAATGGGGGTAATAATACTGACCTCACAGGTGTGAGACAGGAACGAATTAAAATACAGATAGCATGTAACACGGTGGTGATGGACAAGCCTCAGTGCCCTTCCCAGGCCTGCCTTATCTCCAGTCAGCAGGCGTGTCCATGATCTCATCAGCTGGCACCCATCCTCCCGTGGGCACAAGTGTGCTGGAAAATGTGTGTGGATGACATCCAAGAAGCAGGTCTTCTGGCCCGGGGAGGGCCGGGAGTTCTAGGAAAAGGTCACGCCAGCCCACACGTTATGGCTGCCACCTATTGGGTTCTTCCCCAGCCTTTTACCTTTGTTAACTCATTTAGTTCTTGTGACAGTGAGGCCTAGGAGATTAAGTGACCTGCTCAAGGGCCCACAGCTGGATTTGAACCCCGGGCAGCCTGGCCACAGGGCCCCCGCTCTTTCTTCCTGCACCCGCTGCCTGTTGCTGCTTCTTGCTGACATCTTCACTCCGGGTCACAGCTCAGGCCAGCCTCTGCCCCCAACCCTTGGAGGGAGTGGAGGTGCCCACTCTCCCTTGTTAAGGGTTCATGCCTTCGAGAAGCTCTCAACCAAGGGGTGCTCAGATAAGAAAGCCAGCTGTGATGACGGGCGGGCGAGCTCAGCAGCCGGCCCCCAGCCCTTTGTCTCCCCTCATCAGGCCTACCCTTGCCCTGGGGCCTCCTTATCCGTCTATCAGGAAGTTGGCCAGCGGCCAGATGTCAGAGTTGGCATGTTTTGAGCTGCACCAGCAGCCCCCGGCAGCCTGGACCCCTCGCTTAATCACCCCACTCCCCAAGAGGAGGGCAGGATGGGCTGGGGCTTGGCGCCTGGCTCCATCTATGTGTTTTTAAAATCCATCAGAGACACTGACGTAGGTTCCTAAGTCACAGGCTCTAAAAGCGTGGTCTTTTCTGTCTTCAGCCCAGCGTGTGCTGGCATGAGTCAGCCACCTGTGATGGATTCCCTGTTGGGGGGGTGGGTCACTGAGTCACAGCCTCGAGGGGTGGCCGCGGGTGGCAGATGCACAGGAGCCAACCTCCTTGACTCACTTAACTCCGGGAGCTTGAGGCCCAGGCCCCAAACCTGATTCTGAGCTCTGCCCACGGCCTGGTCTGCGGGAGGCCCCATGTCACTGCATAGAAAAACTCTCAAGGACGCACGCCTGATGCTGTCGGCTTCTTACTTCCGGGGGTGGTGGGCAACAGGGTCTTTAGTCCTGACTATATCACACGAATTTTTTATAATACGAATATATCCAGGTATTATTTATAAGTAAAAATGAAGTTAAAAAACATAACTAAAATACAACGGGCTTTTCCCCAGGCTCTGCCTGTGTACATGCTGTTCCCTCTTCCGGGAGGGCCCTTCCCTGCTGGCTCTGAGGACACACATTCATCCTGTGAACCCAGCCCAGTAACAACTGCCATCGGCTCTGCACTCAGCCCTTCCTTTAATCCTCCCAGTCCCCTTTGTGGTAACTATCCCCATTTTGCCAGTGGGGAAACAGAGGCACCGGGGTTACTTGCCCAAGGTCGCCCAGCTAGGCAGTGGGGCCGGACTAGAGCCCACGTGTGGGACTCAGCTGCTACATTTCCACAGGTAACCGGGCCCCTGAAGCGGGCGATGTGGTGCCTCCAGGGAGATGTTGCCGAGCTGTCGTGTCTGCTCACCCTGACCCGCTGGGTTGCCCCCTCCTCTGGCTCCCCAGGCTCAGATCCCAGGCACCGTTCTAGCCCATGGCACACTCAGCTGTGCGTCGTGGAGGCTGGGCCTGCCTTCAGCCTAGTACCTCCCACATCAGTCCAGAGCTCAGGTCCCAGTGAAGACAGGAATATTCCTGTGGGAGTCCACGGCCTCGCATTTGGGACAGGCGTGCTTACCACCGAAGCGGGCTTGGGTGGGCTGCTGCGCGTGAGCTGTAAACCGTGTTCCACGTTCCTTCCTCTAATGCAGCTCACGAAACCTTCATTGAGCTGGAATAAAATCAACCCTGAGTGTTTCACTGTGGCATCTGGGGCCTTTGCTAAACAGCCCCACCTCCCTCTTATGCCTCTGTTTCCTGCTGCTACCCACCTCACGCCCCTCTTTTATTTGGGGTTCAGTAACACCAACCTCTTTCAGTTCCTTACACAAGCCCACAAACTGGGCAGTTTCTGACCTGCACACTCGTTCATGCTCTTCCCTCTGCCCAGATGCCTTGCCTTCTGTTCCTGAGCAGTGTAGACTCGGCTTCAGAGCCTTAGCACAAGGGGGCCTTTTCCAGTGAGGAGCCCTCTCTGAACACCCCCAGCTGAGTTGGGGGCCCTCCCCATGGCCCCCACAGTCTGTGCGTCCCTCTGGTCCAGTGTGGGTCACGCGGAGTCTCATTTTCTGTTCCAGGTCTGTGTCACAGCAGGCCAGGGACTCGTCCAGGGCCAGGCTCTTGTCTCACTCCAAACCTGTCACCTCCGGAAGGACTGGCTCCACATAGCCGTCCTCCCAGGGCTGCTGAGGTGAATGGCATCTAGGTCTCCGTGGCAGGGAGTGTCATGTCCTGCTTCAGTGCGCCAAGTCTGGAACTGCAGCTCTTGACATGTGACCTTAGCAAGTTTCTTCACTGCTCTGAGCCTCAGTTTCCTTTTCTGTAAAATGGGAATTACCAGGTGCCAAAGTCAAAAACGCCATTTTAAGGATTAATGTCATTCATTCATTTGTTCATTCATTCAGTAAACATTTCTTGAGCACCTGCTCGGCCCCAGGGTCTAGGGAATCCAGCAACACATCAGACAACCCCTGCTAGCAAGGACCTTATGTTCTCGTGGGAGGAGACAGACGAGAAGAAGGTGGCCGGTGATCCTGAGGGCTGTAGCAGGGCAAGGGGCTTGGGGAATGGGGGCCGGGTGCCTTGAGCAGAGGCCTGAGGGCGGTGAAGGAGAGCCATGTGGAAGAGGGTTCCAGAAAGGGGCACAGGCACAAGGCCCCAAGGTGGGACCTCGCTGGCACCCTTCCCATAGCAGCAGGGAGGCCGGTGTGGCCAGAGGGAGTAAGCAGAGAAGAGGGTGGTGGGAGATGAGGCAGGGAGGCTGGACAGAGTGAGTGGCCATCGGCCAGAGCGCACGTGGCCTGCGGACGTATGAGGATGTGGCTTAGACTCAAGAGAATGGAAGCTTTGGAGGGTTCTGAGCAGAGGAATGACAGCATCAAATGTAGGGTTCAAAGGACCCCTCTGGCCACTGTTGGGAAAGGCCTGGGGGCGCCAGGGGCAGAAGCTGGGAGCCCAGTGGGAAGGCTGCCGCCGCTGTCCAGTCCGGGGGAGCAGTGGAGACTTGACAAGGTCAGATGCTGGGCATCTTGAAGGCGGAGCGGACAGCATTTCCTGACGGGTGGGAGGTCAGTGTACGAGAGACAGGGGGCCAGGATGCCGCCAAGGGTTTTGGTCTGAGCAGCTGGGAGGAGGAGGGGCCTTTTGGTGAAACAGGGAGGCTCCGGGAGAATCGTGGAGGTCCTTGCCACAGGATTATCACCAGCATCATTCATTCTGTAGACACTCATTCAGTACCTCTCAGGGGCTGCGCTCTGCGAGGCCTCGAGACCCAGGGAGGAAAGGAGGCCACCGCAGTCCTGCCTTCAAGGATCCCCCAGTCTAGGGTGACAGGGCAAATTTGGGTGAGTGATGATCTGGATTTGGAGTTTGAGGAAGCCCTGTTGGCCTGTGGGCCCCGAGGTCGTCCCCCAACCCGCCGTGGGGCCAACACCCAGGGAGCTGATGGTGGGCAGCTGCTGTTTTGAGCCCTGACCTGTGCCAGTCGCCCAGCTGGGTGCTTCACATGCATTCGCTCACCCCATACCACAGCAGCCCCCTCTGGTAGCTACTGTTATTGCTCCCATTCTGAGGATGAGGAACCTGAGGCCCAGAGAAGGGCAGTGGCTGCTCTACAGTCCCATGGCTTGGACCAAACTGGGATCCAAATCCAGATTTGTCTGACTCCAGGGTGAAGCTCTGCACCCCACCGTCTGGGGCAGCCAACTGAACTCCTGAAACTTGCTTCTCTCCCCCAGGTCCCGGGCAACTTCCACGTGTCCACACACAGTGCCACAGCCCAGCCACAGAACCCAGACATGACCCATGTCATCCACAAGCTCTCCTTTGGGGACACGCTACAGGTGAGCAGAGCACAGTGAAAGTGGCATGGCCGGGGTGGGCGTACAGGGGCTGCATCTCCCAGAGCCTCTGTCCTCCTTGGTCACAGAGGGATGCCTTCCAGAGGGGTCCCCCCCCTTTGAGCTTCTGTTCCATCCAGCAGCTCCTTTGTATTGTTCCTTCTGAGCACACAGTATCCTCAGCAGCATGCTGGACTTGGAACCTCGGGTTGAGACCTGGGGCTGGGGAGGGGACTCGCTTCCAGGAGCAAGTCCTGAGCGCGAGTGCTTTCTCTGTGTGGTGCAGCCTTGGAGGGAGGAGGGGACAGTGCATTTTACAGACTGGAGCTGGGCCCAGAAGAGCCGTCGTCCAGGGTCCCCCAGCAGATCTGTCTGACTCCCCGTCACAGTACCTGTCCGCTGTACTGCCCAGGGCCCACGTCCATTACATAGGGGAGCGCCATGAAGGAAGGATTCTGCGAGTCCTCGTTGTTGTTTTGATCTAGAGGGCCGCCTCTGGCAGCCCAGCCCCAGCAGTTTCCTCCCCATGGCAGCAAACCCTGACCGCCCTGGCTCTGCCAGCTGCAGGCAGGGAGCCTTGATGGGCTCTCTTCTCCACGCCCCGCACCATGGTGCAAAAGGGAAATTCTTTTACACCCTATTTGACAAAGAGGGAATGAGGCTCAGAAGGGGCAAGTAACTGCTCCGGCCACCATGCTGGGTTTGGGACCCGGGTCCTGACCCCGAGAGTTGCTTGATGAGAATCTGTTTCCTGGTTGGGGTTGCTTGGCGGGTGCCCCCAGGCACAGTGATGTGCACACGGCCCACACAGGCCCACCAGCACACACGCGCATACCATTATGACAGCTGTGTGCATACACATCTGCTCAGACTCGTACACACACTTATCAGACACACTCTCAAAGATGTGCCCTGACATATGTGTGCTTGTACATACGTCCTAAAACCCATCCCTGAGCACACACACCACAGGAACACACACCTGGGTGTATGGCGTTCTCACAAGCATTCCCCCACGCCAGTGTAATCATCCTTACACACACAGACACACTCACCACCCAGGGACACCACAGACTCACCAGGCTGGTATGTCTCACGTACAGAACCCCCCACACACACACTCCTGCACGCACTGCCCCACTCACACGGACGTGTGCAGATACCCACTTACAGCAGGAATGCCTGATGTTGGTTGAATGCCTCTGTGTGCTTAGTACCATACTTTACAAGCACCATCCTCTTTCACTCCCTCAGCAGCCCCAGAGGTAGGTACTTTATTGTCCCCGTTTTACAGATGAGGAAATTGAGGCACAGAGAGGGTGCAGTCTGCTGCAGAGCCTAGGTTTGCATCCAGATTCTGGCTTCGGGCTGCATTGCTGGTACTGCTTCCCCTGCACACACTCCTGAGCATGCACTGTCCTGCAAACACACACATGTTCCTTGTGCTTCTTTCCCTTTGGGTGCCTTGTGCCCAGCCCAAGTGGCTCATCATTGCCTTTCCAGTCCTTCTGGAGACCCCAGAGGCTTTCCTCTTGGAGACAGGGCTCAGGAACAGAGAAGGCCCTGCCTCCCTGGGAGCCACGGCCAGACTCCCTGTCCACACTCTCATTGAAGCAAGGCCGCCTTGGGCCTATGGATTTGCTTCCTGCAGGCGAATTCACACAGGATTCACCCACACCCCCCATCTCTCCATCCAAGGGCCTCCTGGTTGGAGGTTCCCAGCCTGCCTTTCTGGGGCCAAGTCCTGGCTTCCCACTTACTAGTTGTGTGGGCTCGGACAGATTATTTCTTCCTCCTGAGCCTCAGTTATCTCATCTGTAAAATGGGAACGGTAATAGTACCTGCTTCCTAGGATTGTAGTGAAGATAAAATTGTTGATGCACGTGGAGCTCTTAGAACAATGCCCAGTGCCGAGTGAGTGGCCAGTGAAACAAGCCATTACAATTGTTGTTGTCTGTGCCCTCCTCTGCACCAGGCTCACAGGATACAGCATGTTGCCAGCCCACAGGGACTCTCAGCCACGGAGAAGACAGGCGCGCAGGGGGTCACCACCCCAGCGGGTCAGGCCTGACAGACCACAGGCAGGTGGTGGCTGAGGGCCTTCCACACACTGAGCTGTGGGCAGCACCCCAGCTGCCTGTGTACCCACCAGCCCACCAGATCCTCAAACAGCCCTGGAAGGGAGGCACTGTGAACCCCAGTGTGCATGTGGGGAAACTGAGGCACAGAGTCACGAGTCCAGGGTCAGCTCTTTAGTGGCACAGCCAGGATTCGAACACAGTGTTTGCACCACAGCACACTCCTTCCTCCTGGGAACTTTTGACACCTTCAGCCTGCACTTTGTTACCCAGAGGACACTATTGTAGATGACCCCTTGTTTAATCCTCACAAAAACTCCCTCAGGGATGCTGGATGGGATTTATTTTTCCTAATGAGGAAACTGGGTCAGAGAGATTCAGTAACTTGCCCAAAATCACACAGCTCATAAGAAACCAGGTGTGTCCAGCCCTGGGTCTTCCTTTACTATGCCTTATACAGTCATGGATTCATCAGCCCCTCCTGAAATTTCTGCTCTGTGTCAGGCTCTGTGCCAGGCCCTGGGGCTACATGATGAATAAACAATACAGGCTTCTCACCCTCAACCATAGAAGAGATCCAGTGTAAATAAACAGGATCCTGTAGGACTGGGGGCTGAGGACTGGAGAGGCCTAGGATTCCGGGCAGTGACGTGAGGGCAGGGGCAGGGTATCCCCGAGCCTGGAGGTCAGGGAGGGCTTCCCAGAGGAGGTGACCCCTAAGGTGACATCTAAGCCAGCCCTGAATGATGAGAAGGTTTTGGCCAAGCACAGGACAGGGAAGTTGATGGGCAGGGGGCATCTTACACATCACCCCTCTCCTAGAACACCCGCTGTATGACACACCCAACTGGTCATTTTCATATAAAAGACCCTCCAGGTTACTTTTAGAAAAAAATGGATCGGCAAGTGTCCACGACATCAGAATGGTATCCTGTCCACAAAAGACCCAGGGAATGAGGGCATTAGAGTCGGCTGAGAGGGCTCAGAAGTTTCGACCTGGAGGAGAGCAAGGAGCTGGGTTTGTGTGGGGCAGGAGACCCACGTTAGGTTTAGGAACGTGAGGGCTGACCAGGCAGGGTGGGGTCTTAGGAAGAGCACCCACCTGCTGTGTGGAAGACAGGCCCATGAGGCAAGGTTGGAGGCAGGGGGGCGAGGGAAGGGCTGCAGCCAAGGCCAGGGGAGACAGGCCCCGGGCTGCAGCAGGGCGGGGGAGAAGAGAGGAGGAGGGACTGGGGAGGAGAGGGAGCCGTCTTGTGTTGCTGTGTGCTGTGGGCAGAACAGAAGGACGGTGCCAGCCTTCCGCTTAGGCATTGTTATGGTGGAAATAGGGTTTCTTTAAATGTAAAAACCTTAGCTGAGGGTCTGTCTGCCCATCTGTTATCCATCCATCTATGCAGCAAATCTTTACTGAGCACCTACTGCGTGCCAGGCCTTGCCCACATTGGTGAGGATGAGCATGGTCCCTGCTGTGTGGAGCTTACAGTCTAGAGGGGAAGACAGAAGTTAATCAATAATCATATAGATGAATGTGAGAGAAAGCCATGACACGTGATGATGGGAGGGAACGTTCTAGCACTCTTGTCTCCAAAACCACTGTCCTCTTGGGTCAGAAACCAAGTCGTCACATGGTCAGTCCCAAGGCAGCACATGGACACATCTTCCTTTGGGCTTATTGAGAGTGTGCAGTTCTGTTAAGTGCTCAGTAAACATCAGCTGAGACCAGGATCAGGGATCAGTCAGGCCACCCAGCTACTGCCCACTGTTCCTGGAATGGCCGTCTCTGCAGGAGCCTGTCCCCACCCACCTCTCTGACCTTGCTCCTTCCCACTCCTTACCCCCTCAGTATCCAGGCTCACGCCTTTGCATGTGTTGCTTGCCTGATTAACTTCCCACTTTCCCGCAGATCTTGGTGTTAGTGTCACTTCCTCCAGGAAGCCTTCCAGGGTGTCTAGCTCAGCAGCCTCTGTTAACTGTGCCCACAGTGGCATGCCCCATGTGCCAGGTGTGCCTTGTCCTGCTTTAGATTCTCCTTGAGGCTGACCTGGTTTCCTGTCATCCTCAGAGAAGAAGCTGGGTGTGGCCTTCTGCTCCACTATGTAGCAGCCCCTGTAGGGGGACACAGCCAGGCTGGCTGCCATGAGAAGAGGTCTCTTCACAACTGCTATGTGTTCCCTGTAGCAGAGGGGGTGGGAGGCCAGCAGCCTGGGTCCTCTTTCAGCGGGCTGTGGGTGTCTCAGGAGGAGCCTGCTGGGAGCCAGGTCCATCTTTGCTTGAGTTTTCTGTGTTGCTTAGTGGAAAGAGCTCAGGCTGAAGTCAGACAGACGTGAATTTGGAGTTCGGCTCAGCCACTTATCAGCTGCTGGACACTGGACAAGTTTGGTGCTTCTCCAAGCCTTGGTTTGCTCTTCTGTAAAATGGGCCCATGGTACATCATTCGGGGGGAATTAAATGAGATGACATGAAGTATCCAGGACAGAGTGGCGCATAGTAGGTACTCAGAATAGGAAGCAAGCTAGAGCCTACCATGTGCTAGCCCTGTGCTGTGTCTGTATCCTACCCACAACTTCTCCACAAGATAGACCCTGCTGGATCCCCATTTTACTCACAGGTAAGGTCCTTAAACCAGGCTGCACCTGCCATCCCCCCATAGCCAGGGCCAGGCCTGGAGGTGGCGGCACCGTGGAGTCAGTCCCCTTATTGTGCTTCTCCACAGGTCCAGAATGTCCACGGAGCTTTCAATGCTCTTGGGGGAGCAGACAGACTCACCTCCAACCGTAAGTACCCCGTATCCCTGGGAGCAGCCTTCTGCTCGGGGACTCCCAGTGCAGCAGAGAAGGGGAGGGGGAAGGGAGGGGAGGGGACGTTTCTCAAGCATTCACTGTAAGCCAAGCTGTTAATGCTTCACTCCCACAGCCAGCCTGCGAGCAAGGAGGAATCGTCCCTGTCTTACAGAGAAGGGGAGAAAAGCGACTGGTCCTGGGGAAAGTGTGTGGCAGCCCCAGGCACATCACACGTGCTCAGTGAACACCAGCTGCTCTCTTTGTTATTGTTAGCATTGGTGCCCGCCATTGCTGTAGATTGAGATAATCACCTTAGATCCCAGGGATGATGGCAGAGCCAGAATTCATCCTGGCTCCAAGTGGCACCCTGAGAACAGGGCTGCGGGTGGCTCAGCCTGGTCTGGCCGCCTGGGCTGCCTCCCGCACCCCACCCTCTCCTTGTGCGTGAACCCCTCCCACCCATGACGGGCCCCTCCCTGAGCCCGCTTCCTCCTCAGCTCCCCGGCACCTCGGCCCGGATTAAAGAGAGCACCACATCTTTACATCCCTACAGAAGAACGTGCACACCTACACGCATGCACACGCATGTGGGGCCTTGGACCTGTGCACAGACTGGGCCCGGGAGGCCTGTCTACAGGTGGATCCTGCAGGACAGGTTATCTGGACTTTTCTCATTTTCTGACCTGGGCTCCCTTTTCTCACCCACATATCATTTATCATTTCTCAAAATACGTTTACTCTCTAACAGTCAGAAATCCAAGCAAAACAAACATCCCTCCGTGACCTGCCCCCACAACAAAGCTTTTTGTTTCTCTGTGTCCCTGGGACTCCTTGTCAGTGAGCAGGAGTCATTTTTTCCAAGCGTAGATAGCGCCTTACCTTCTGATTTTGTCCTTTGCATTATTATATAACCACAGTTTCCGTACAGTTTCTCCATTGGTACCCGAGGCGTGATTGCCCATCTAGCAGCTCTGCCGTGCTGTGCTCAGGTAGTGCCTTTTCATGGAGAATGTCTGTGGTTTCTGGTTTTTCACCATCACAGTAACGCCTTTAATATTTACGGTGTTTGCTTTACATTAATTGCTTCCCAGCTGGGCGTGTGCCCACGCGTGCTGCCTCTAGCAGCAAATGTCCGATCATAGCAGAGGGAGATGATGCTCCTCGTGGTGAGGTAGTCGTGATCGTTCTGTGTAAGGGCAGAGTGTTGTCCCAAGGCGGCTGTTCCCACACACTTGCATTTAGCATGGACCCCTCCGCTGCCTGGTGCTGGACTAGGATCAGCTAGGAAGGCCAGAGTGTGCGAGCCAATAGAGGACGTGGGCACAAAACCTTTCCTGCTCTGGGGCTAGTGACAAAAGCCATCGCCGGCTGGCTTTGGTGGAAAGGAAAATGCGTTAGATTAACCCACAGACAGGGTAGGGCTGGCTTTCATTCCTTCAGCTCTCAAGCCCTGTCCCCCCGCTGGGCCTTTGCCTTTGTGGGTCCCTCTGCTCCTAGGTCTTCCCAGGGGGCAACTTCTTGTCATTCAGGTCTCAGCTCAAACGCCACCCCCTCGGAGAGGTCCTCCCTGACCACCTCATCTAAAGTAACCCGCACTCTAGTAACAAACCTATTTTTCTTCCCGGCACAGACCTCTCTCTTCGAAGATGCTGAGGAGTGATGGTTGATATTTTAGCTCTGATGATGGCATTGTAGTGGTGGTTTTTTTTTAAAGAGTCCTTATCTTTTAGAGAGACATAACTAAAATATTAGTGGGTGAATTGATGTGATGTCTGAGATTTGCTTCAAAATAAAATGGGGGAGGAGGAGCGGTGGGGCAGAGATGAAGCAGAACTGGCCGTGTGCTGTTAATTCCTGAAGCTGGGGTGTGGGTGCGTGGGCGTTCACGCCTCAAGTCCCTACTTTTTATATGTTTGAATTTTCCCGTAATAAGATGTTGGGAGGGAGGGTGGGAGGGAGCCAGAAGGGTGTGTGGGCCTGCCTGGATCAGGTTGGAGCCAGCAGCCCTTAGGAGGGGTCAGCTGACAAGGAATCCACGTGGGTGTAATTAGGTGCAGTGTCTGGTGGGCATTTGGCAAATTGTATCAAAGGCCTTAAAAATGGTTATTGCCTTTGAGTCATCAGTTCTACTCATAGGAGAGCAAGCTAAGGAAATAATTAAGAGAATGTGCAAAGACGTAGGAAAATAATGTTCATTAGGTCATTGTTTACAAGGGTGGAAATGAGGGAGAGCGCCAGTGCCAGCCTCGGCAGCTAGTAGAGGACACTGATCGTGGCCACACCGTGGGGTCCGTGCGGCCGCCGACTGTGAGGTGTCAGAACCTCGATGGCAATCCAGCAGCAAACATTTATTGAGCACCTGCTGTGTGCCAGGCACTGTGCCAGGGGCTATGGAGGCGAATAGAACAAACACTGGAGCTTGCAGTCTGTGTCTTAGGCCTCAAACAGTGTCTGCAAGGTTCAGTTCTTAGAAAAAGGTACGGTATGACCCAGTTTTAGGAAAACATAAATCTACATATAAATAGAAGTCTGGCAGTTTATACATGGCAATACGAATCCCTGTTTTCTGTGGATGGTGGATTCATGGGTGATTTTTATTTTTTTCTGTGTGATCGTCTGTGTTTTATACAAATTTTAACAGGACTATAGAGGTGTGGTCTTCTTAAGGCATTCCCTCTTTCGTTCCTTCAAGTGTTTAGCCTGGGCGATGGGCGTTTGGAACACTATATTCAGTGGTGATCTTAGGGCTCCTAGTTTCAAATGCAGGTTCTGAGCCCCACCCCAGACCCCCGAGTGAGAATCTCTGGAGTGAGGCCCCGGTGTCTGCCTTTTAGACCCCGGGTGACTCTAGCGCTCCTGACGTTGGGGAGCGCTGCGGGCTTCAGCAGAGGGGTGTTGGGGTCTTCATGGGCTGAGGCTGCGGGGCTTGTCCCAGGTTCTCAGAGGAGTCAGGTCTCGAGACAGTTGAGGAAGCACTGTCCTTTCATTACCAAGATGTGGTATTGGCAGGCAGAGGCCGTGAACGCCATCGACCTCCCCTACCCTCTTACAGAAGGTGAGCCCAAGGACTCAGGACCGACTCAGCCACGAGACCAGGATTAGAGCCCACAGGCCTGAATCTCTGTGTTGTTGTAGCTCCATGGTCCGTGACCTGAGATTCTAGAAGGCAATAATAGAGGGGTCCTTGAGGGCCTCTTAGCATCCCAGAAGCCTGAGGGAATCCCTACCTTTCCCGGGTGATATTGGGCAGCTGTGGGCCAGCATTCTGTCAACCTGGTGTTTGACTCTGGTTGCCTCATGCTCATCAGGAGCTGACCCATCTGCTGTTACACTCATGCCTCTGACAGCCGTCCCTCCATCCGTTCATTAATTCAGTAAGCATTTGCCACTGTCCACTCCGTACCAGGCTCTGCGCGGGGTTCTGGGGACACAGGATGGGTAAGGCTCAGTCCCTGCCCCCTGCAGCCTCCCCCATCCAGCGGGGTGGGGTACGAGTTACAGTGGAATATGACAAGGCCCGGTGGAGGCAGAACTGATCTCCCGTTAATTGAAAATGGGGAAAGAAATTAATCAATGCTTCATAGATGGAGTGTTTCTGGTTGGTGGGCTCTTTCTTTTGAAAACTTAAACCCAGTTTGTTTCAAAAATAACAATATTCAAATAGGATCTGGGCCCGCCCCATGGCTTAGCGGTTAAGTGCGCGCGCTCCGCTGCTGGCGGCCCGGGTTCGGATCCCGGGCGCACACCGACGCACCGCTTCTCCAGCCATGCTGAGGCTGTGTCCCACATACAGCAACTAGAAGGATGTGCAGCTATGACATACGACTATCTACTGGGGCTTTGGGGGGAAAATAAATAAATAAAATCTTCAAATAGGATCAGAGAGTGCACAATGAAGTGTGACCTTTATCAAATCCTAACGTCCTTCCCAGAGCCTAAATTGCTAATAGTTTCTTGGGGATCTTTCCAGAAAATTCTTCTGTATATTCACACATACAGAGAGAGTCTTCCCTGCCCCCAGTACATGGAAACATGTTGTTCACCCTGTTCTGTAACTTGGTCCTTTCCACTTAACGGTACCTCTTGGAGAGTGGCCTTCTCCCAGCACCCATTCTTCAGCCCTATTGATGGACATCTGGGTCGCTTCCAGAATATTAATATTATATGCAGTGCAAGAGTCAAGATACTGACAGGCAGAGTCTCTCAATTCCTGTCCAAGGGGAAAAGATGAAGAGGGGTTATTTGGTAGTAAAAATGTGGGGAGTGAGCCTCACCCTCCCTCCCACCCCTGGCGATGCCAAGCAGGTTTAGGGTTGAAATGACATAGAAGAAGCTGCCAGTTTCTTTAAAAACTAAACATGCAACAACCGAGCAATTGCACTCCTAAGCATTTATCCCAGAGAAATGAAGACTTATGTTCACACAAAAATCTGTATACAAATGCTTGTAGTAGCTTTATTTGTAATAGGTAACAACTAGAAACAACTCAGATGTCCTTTGACCGGTGAGTGGTTATGTTCATACCATGGAATACTTTTCGGCAGTGAAAAAGAACGGACATGTATAGTTATACAACAACCTGGGTGAATCTCCAGAGAATTATGCTGGGTGAAGAAAAGCCATTCCTAAAAGGAAATGTACTGTATAATTCCGTTTATATAACATTCTTGAAATGACAAATTATAGAAATGGAGAACAGATTAGTGATTGCCAGGGATTAAGGAGGAGAAAGGTTTGGCTAGAAGGGAGGAGGGTGTGGCTAGAAAAGGGCAGCATCTTTATGGTGCTGGAAACATTCTGTATCTTAATTGTATCAATGTCAATATCTTGGTAGTGAGAGTGTAGATAGTTTTGCAAGCTGTTACCATTGGGATGACCTGGATCAAGGGTACTTGAGATCTCTCTGTATTATTTCTTTATCTCAAAATAAAAAGTTTAATTTAAAAAATAACAAAAAATTTAAAAAAAAAGGCAAGCTGCCAGCCATCCCTGCTTCATCCTGCTGTGTTCTTCCCACAGCCCTTGCCTCCCACGACTACATCCTGAAGATCGTGCCCACGGTTTACGAGGACAAGAGTGGCAAGCAGCGGTACTCTTACCAGTACACGGTGGCCAACAAGGTATGCGGCCGCGCCTGGGCCCAGCTGCGTGCAATCGCGCCCTCTGCTGGCCGACAGCAGAGGCAACAAGTGTCTGGGCGTGATGTCCGCAGGTTCCCTTCAGGGGCCTTTCCTGGGAGGCTGCTGTGGCCAGGCTCTGTCCCTGGGTAAAGATGAGAGGGCAGTCTCAGAGTCAAGGGGAGGAAGTCTAACCAGGAGATAGGGTGTGATCTGTTTAAGAAAGAGCAGGCAGGTGGCTTCCCTCAAGGTCCCAGGGGTTGCAGATGTCTGCACAGCCCTGCACCTGGCCCCAGTCCTTCAGACTCAGGATCCTGATTGGCCAGCACACGACATGCTCTGGCTCTCAGGGCACAAGCACTTTATCCGAAATCATGAGGCTGAAGAATCACACTGGGATGGCCCAGGACCCCGATACTCAGTCATGGAAAAGCAGGCGGGCCTTTGTGGGAAGCAGAGCATGGTCAGAGCCAGTGGAATGGAATGGCCAACAGTTAGTGTTTTCAAGCCCAGACAGCCTCAGGTCTCCCCGGAGATGACCCCGCCAATGGACCGTGAATGCTTGAAGCCTGTTGGTTGAGGCCCCTCTGTAGACCCTGATGGGTGGGTCTTTCCGTTTACCACCGGGCCTCTCCTTTTTCTTCTATTCCAGGGCTGTCCAAACCCCTTAGAAGTGATATGTCGTTTAGTTCAATTAATTATGATAATAAGATTAAGAGTAGCAGCTATCATTTATTGAGTACTTGCTATGGGATGGATATTATGCTAAGCTGTCCCTCTCCACATCTTTTCCAGTCTGCATGACAGCTCTGACATTGAGACTATTCTCCTTTTACAGATTTGTCCACTGAGGCACTGAGAGAGGGTCACAGAGTTACAAAGTGGCCAAGTGGGGATTAGAACCAGGGTCTCCTTGGGCTCCAGAGCCAGGCCTCTTGATCACATCACCCACTCAGTCTGAACAAAAGCCTTCGGGTCAGCCGGGCTGGGAGCTACTCTCTTTTGGGTGACTTGTCCCTCTGCTCTGATCCACCTGTGCTGGTGTTCTGGTGTAACTCTCCAGAAGGAATCTCTTTTCTTTTATTCACTGTCTCTTGGAGGGCATCTCGTTGTAACCCTCAAGTGCTGAGAGCATCTAACAGAGAAGGCGGATGCAGTCTGAGTGGAAAGAGCTTGGGCTGTGGAGCAGACTGCCAGATCAGACCCGCTCAGTCACTCACTCACTATGTGACCTGGGACAAGTCACATAACCACGCCATGCCTCAGTTTACTCATTTGTAAAACGGGGATGGTGCCCACCTTGTAAGACTGCTGGCAAATGAGGTGATGTTTTTAAAACTGATTAGCCCATAAAGCAGGCTTTGGGTAAATGATACCTGCTGCTACCATTTTTCGTTATTTTCCTCTGTTCCTCAGCTCTGGTCTGTGACCCAGCCGGTCACTCTGCCCCATCAGCTCTCCCTGGAGAAAGCTGATATTACTTAGCCCAAGGCTCCTTCCCCCAAGGCTTTGGCAAGGGCCCAGCAGCCAGAACAGCTTGCTCAGCTCTCTCTGTGGCCTTGGCCCCAGCCTGCCCTGTGAGCAGGCGGGGCTGCAGGGCCGGTGGCAATCCGACAGAGAGGGCAGGTCTTGGGGTGTCCCTGGAGGAAGCCTCAGGGCTCGGGCCCTAGCATTTGGGGTTGGGAGTGCCCCTTTGGTTTAGTTTGGTCTCCAGTTGATGTAGACGAATGAGAGTAGCCCAGAGGTTTTCAGCATCCCAAAGTGCCCAGATCAGAGAGGACACACTGTTCATTCAGCCCCTTAGCATCCTTTAAGTCCCACCGGTGCCTTCTCAGGAAGGCTAGTGGCAGGGCTGAGCTTCTCTCCCTCCCCCTCCCCCTCCCCCTCCCCCCACTGCCACCCCTCAGGATGTCATGTGTGGCTTAGAATGTCCCCTCCTCACTAAGCCTTCCAGACGCCCCCAGGAAGAGTTGGTCATTCATTCATGGCCCCCTCAGCACTCTGTGTCCCTCTCTCACAGCACATATGATGCTGCAGTGTTGCAGATATTTTTACATCTGCCTCCTTCTCCAGACTGTGACCCCTCTGGGGATGGGGCAGGGCTTACTCCCCTCAAGGTCCCCAGCAGCCAGCTCAGGGCGAGCACACAGGAAAGGTGCTCAGTAAACCATCGTTGAATAAATGAATAGATTTTGCGTGGCCCAGGAGTCGAAGGGGGAAATAGGCCTTTACTCAGACGGAGCCCAAATCACACTTGTCCTTTTACATCTCTGTTCTCAGATCCATATTTTGATTCTGCTTCTAGGTCATACTGTCAATTTCTAAGCCACCAAAAGGTTCAAAAATGCCCCCAGCACTGTTGCCCGTCCAGAGCCTCCGGGGGAAGGGGTGTGAGAGGAGGGGCCGGTGGAGTGTGGCTCTGGCGGGAAGAGAGGGAAGACAGCCCAGGGGACCCTCTGCGATCCAGCCCCCACCCATCATGAGATGTGGTTTGTGGGTCTGATTCTCACATCCCCCCGCCCCCCTTCTCTCTTCCTCCACCCCAGGAGTACGTCGCCTACAGCCACACGGGCCGCATCATCCCTGCCATCTGGTTCCGCTACGACCTCAGCCCCATCACGGTCAAGTACACGGAGAGACGGCAGCCTCTGTACAGGTTCATCACCACGGTGAGTGGGTGGGGCGCCCCCACCGGTCCTCGAAGAAGCAGGACACAGCCCGCAGGGCTAGGGGCTCAGGCTCTACTCAGGGGGCTTGACCCTCAGGGTGTTTGGAAATGTCGTCAGAATCATGTCAATACCAATGACATTTCATCAAGAAAATACTCTCCAGAGGGAATGCCACTAAATCAATGTAATTCCGTAAGCAGATCTTTATATAGCTCAATTAGATGTTCATAATTTTCTCCAGATTTTTATTTTTATGGAAATTATTCTTAGCAGGGTTTATCCTTTTCTGTGTAAATTTTACAGTGAAGATTTGACTCATTTTTCCCCACGTCTCAGTTCCAGCTATAGCTGCTGATCTTGTCTGGTTTTGTCTTTCTTTCCTTCCTGCCTGTTCTCTTTTCTTTCTTTTTTTCTGTCATCTCCATCAAGTCCAGTGTTTTGTGGGGCAGCTTCAAGCTGATGTCAGTTTTCTTCGATGCTGATTTTTTCTATCAAGTATACTGTTTCCTGGCCTCCCATTCAAAATGTCCTTGAGGTCAGAACAGCAGGGTCACAGTGCCCTGCTTCAGCCAAGAGGCCTGGAGATGTTTGGTAAGCCAGAGTCAGCTGAGGTAGAAGAGATGGGTGATTATCCCTCCCTCACAGATTTGGAAACTGAGGCCCGAAGGCCGTTATGCTTCTCTGCAGTACCACTTCATACTTTTAATAATGATTCAAGATCAGGGGTCTTGTCCTGGATCTTTCATTTCCAGCTCTGACTAGATTTGTATTAGTCAGGACTCTGTTACAGATGAGACAGAACCCCACATCGAGCTGGCTTGAGAAGTAGGCCTCAGGCATGGCTAGATCCAGGCATGAACATTGTCCGAGATAGGTCTTTCTTTATCCTGCTTTCCTCTGTACTGGCTTCATTTTCAAATAGAATTACCAATAGAAAGTGCCTCTTTCTCAGTAATTCCACCCCAGGTCCTGGATAGGATAGTGCTGTCATTGGCCCAGCTCAGGTCCCATGCCATCCTTGTGGCCTGGAGAATGAATGGACTGCTCCAGTTGGCCAGCCCCACCCCGACCACAAGGACAAGGATTGCGAGGGGGTGGAGTTCCCCAAGAGAAAACTCAGGGGCCAGTTAGTCGAAGCAGGAGGAGTGGGTGCTAGGAGGCAGAAGAGTCAGATGTTGGCACCAAGGCCTCCATCCCCTAATCGATGAAATAGGAATGATAATCCCAACTCTTCCTATGCCCAGGCCTCGTAGGAGATCAAGAAAGGGAAGCTCTTTGCACTTACAGAAAGTCATGTGGGTACAAAGGGCGTCAAAAGTCTGGTGCTTCTGTGAGCCTCAGAACAGCCTTTTGATATTCTCTGACTCCATAAAAATTTGAAACTCATGATCAACAAAGGGCACCTAACATAACGCTAAAACACCAGGCACAGATTGGGGGAAGATATTTGCCACACATGCAAGAAAGGAGTAATCTTTAGAATTTATATACAAAGAATTCCTATAAATCAGTAAGAAAAAGTTAAGTCACCAAAAAGAAAAATGGGTAAGGACTCAGTCGTTCACAGAAGAGACCATACTGGCAGTGAAAAGATGCCCAAGTTCACTGGAAATTGGAGGAATGAGATTCAAAACAAGACCCAATTCAATCCTAAAAGACTGGCAGAAATGAAAGACCTGCCACTGCAAAGATTGGGAGGATGTGAAGTAGGGGAGGCCTGCGTGTACCATCTGGTGCACGCGTGAGTTGAGTCGGCCACTTTGGAGGGAGACGCACAAACCCTTCAACCCACAAGTCAGAGAATGTGTGAGCAAGAGATTTTACCTGAGGCCCCACAGGGTAGCACCCCAAGTGGGTCTTGGTGCTGATTCTTAGCCCTGTACTCCTACTGCAGACCCAGAATAAGACAGAAACGAAGACACGAGTAGGTGCCTCTGTGCAGGTGTGGGCTGCTCCTCAGAGGCCCTGGGGTCTGCGGCATTGACGGTGGCAGAGAAACCCCTAAGCCCACACATCACGGTGGCTTGAGAAGGATCTTCATGTCCCCCTTCTCGTTTGCTCCTGCACGCCAGACAGCTGAGGCTCTGAGCCTTAAAACCCTTTGGCAAGTGGCTGAGGAATGAAGTGTCTTCATTTATTCACTAAACATTTGCTAAAATTTACCGCGTGCTGAGCCCTTGCTGAGAAGCAGGGATAGCTGTTCCCTTCCCTCAAGCTGCTCCCGGCTGGTGGGGGAGATGGGTGAGCGCGCAGAGCTGCGGTCCCATCCAGCGGGGGCTCCAGTGGAGCTGTGCATCAGGCACGGCGGCGGCCAAGAGTCCCCTCTGGAAAGTTCCAAGAAGGAAATCCTGAGAGAGGTGTTGAAGGGTGAGGAGACCTTTTCTAGACCGGTGAGTGAAGGAGAGAGGGTCTAAGCAGGGGAAGAGAACGTGCAGAGGTGCCCAGCATAGCGTGTCTTGTGAAGGCCAGGCGGCCTCTTTCCACAGGGATGGACTTCTGGGAGCTGGAGGTCCTGAGACGTCACAGGGGAGGAGCAGGTCCTTCACCGCCCAGAGGCCGAACGCCTCTGAGACCCCGAACCTCCGCCTTTGGCCCCCGGCCCCTCCTCATCTCTGCCCCATCCACCTCCACCTGAGTGAGGGCCGGCTGCAGGGAACCTCCTGATGTCATTAGCCTGCTGGCTTTTCTAGAGGCCTCACGCTGCCATCCTGGTTGCCACGGCAACCGTGGGGTCAGCCCCGAGTGAGGCAGCCGGCTGTCCCTGGCAGATGGCGTCATTGTGGAGCTTCACAGGCCCTTGTCACGGGGCAGCAGATGTGGGGATGGCGCTCGCAGGCAGACACACAGCACAAAGACCCCTGGAGCCCTCGAGGGGTGGGGTGGGGCCGGGATGGAAGTGGAGGCACCTGCTGTGACTTCTCTTTCTCTCTTTTTAGAATCTAACACTTGTGTGCAAAGCCCCCAAGCCCCACATGGGGGCCTCTGCAAATAGCTCCTCAGAGGGGCTGCTGAAGAGGGGTCTTAGGCCAGGATGTCGTCATGTGGCGGCTGCGGGGCTGCCGAGGCAGCTGTGGGTGGGCTGGAATGAGGGGTGGGAGCAGCAGAGGGGTGTGGGTGTGGAGGGGAGAGGCAGGTGGGGCCTCCCCAGTGCATTTCTAAGTATCAAGCACCTGGCTGATTCAGGGTTGTCCCTCTAGGGTCTTTATGGCCAGAAAGGACCTGTTCATCCCGAGGCCTAGCGGAGGAGCCTTCGTCCTCCAGAAAGCCTCCACCAGGCTGCCCCGGGGCTCCTCTCTTTGGGCCCCCAGGACAACTTGCTCAGACCTCCGCTTTGTGCTATTCCAGAAAATTCCACCACTAAGAATAAGCAGATGGTGTTTAACCATATGCAAGCGATCCCTGTCAGAGTGCCTCCTCCCACACATGCACATTTGTCCCCTGCCCTTGCCACTTGCTGAAGCCCCATTTTTGAGATTGCCTTCAAGTGGGTGGTGGTGACAGATTGGATGGCTTCGGAGGTGTCACATCTCTTTCCTTGTGTGTTTTATTCTATTGGGGGGGAACAGCCAGAAGTCGCAATGTACCAAATTGGGCCAGTATGGCCATGACAGGTTTGGCCACCAGAAAGTATGGGCTGGTGGTGACATGCTCCCGTTGGGCAGCAGGGATCAATGAATTAGACAGAGTGCCTGCCCTGAAGGTGCTCCTTGCCCGTGGAAGAATCCCGCAAACTTTAGGTTGTGCTTCATTGTTGCCAGGCCTGATTGTGATGAGCTCCAGGTCTGATTCACCTCTGTGTCTGCAGCATCCAGTGCAGGGCCTGGCCTGGACAGAGGTGCTCAGAAATATACAAGGGACAGCTGCTTGAAGAAGTGATCATAGAGCTACACTTAAGCATCTCCTATGTGCTGGGCAATTTTACAGTTGTCTCCTTTAATCCTCCCAGGAACCCTCCAAGGTAGATGTTATCATTTCTGTTTTATATATGAATTAGCTGAGGCCCAGAGAGGTAAAGAAAGTCATCCAAGATCACACAGCCAGTAAATGGCAAGGCTAGGACTTGACCCCAACGCTTGCCTCTGCCACATCCCCCACCACCCCCACCCAGCTTGGGAGCTTCCATCTTCCAGAACAAAGGCTCTCAAGTAGGGCTGGCCCCGTGGCTTAGCGGTTAAGTGCGCGTGCTCCGCTGCTGGCGGCCTGGGGTTCCGATCCCGGGCGCGCACGGACGCACCGCTCCTCCCGTCATGCTGAGACCGAGTCCCACATACAGCAACTAGAAAGATGTGCAACTATGACATACAACTATCTACTGGGGCTTTGGGGGAAAAAAATAAATTAAAAAAAAAAATTAAAACAAAACAAAACAAAACAAAAAAACAAAGGCTCTCAAGGATGTTCCAGCAACAGAGCCACTGGAAGCCACAGAGCCCTTGGTAGGACACCAGGGTCACTTGATACAGTGACTTCCATCCTGGGACTCAGGAAGAAATATCAGAGCAGGAAACAAAGCGATATTGTGAACATGTGTGATAAAATCACAGTCACGCACATACAAACTGTAAAAAAAATGCAAGCTGTCCATCTGAGACTGGTTGGCTGGTGGTTTACTAGTGTGCCTGCCCATATCTGATTACCTTTCACTCATCTGGGCACCTGCACAAATCTGTCATAGACAGAAGGCAGCAGGTGCCTGGGACGGTGAAAAGAATTGAGAGGAGACGGAATGTTTTACCCACTAACGTATGAGTTGGGAAAAGAGCAGCTTTGTAGCTGGACCAGCACAAAAGCCCTTTCAGAGCCTCAGTTCTCACCTACTCAGACGTCCCTCCGTGTGTCTCTCTCCCCAGGACCGTGAGCTGCAGGGAGGCAGGGCTGGGGCTTAGTCATCCCTGGTCTCCAGGTGGGTGATAAATGGGTGTCAGACAATGAGCAGTCAGATAGAGGGGTGTGCACCTTGGTCCACCCCCCAGGACAGTTTCTATTATCTGAGGAACAGAACAGAACCCAAATTAGCAGCTCAGTTATTCGGGTCTGGCAACGTGCAAAAAACTTCAGATCCTTCCGGACGTCTGAGCAGAGCTAGATCTTCCAGAAGGTTGTGAACTGGAGACAGATTGCTCCAGCTGATCTGCACACAGATTTCTCAGTTGGAGCAGAAGCTCCTGGTGCTTGCTTTTCTGAGGCAGATTCTGAGATGTATATAAGGGATATTAGAATGGAATGGCTCCATTTTACAAACTACACTTATTTTTACGGCCACACAGCTTCTTCATAAACTTTGCTGATGGGACCCCTGACTTCAGGACATTTGATAGGTAAAACTTAACAGAACTGAGGAAACAAAATATAAAGAAGCCGTCCGTGCACGAAGACGGAGACTGAGGGGAGCCTTCAGGTTGGGGGAGCAGCAGGTGGTCTAACAGGAAAAGCAGGCCCTTTGCAGCCTCCCAGACCTGGATTCTCATCACCCTTACCCACTTGGTAGCCGTGTGACCTTGGACAAGTCAATCCCTCTCTGAGCCTCTGTTTTCCCCTCTGTGAAATGGAGGTCACCCCATTCCTCCTAGTACTTGCAAGGATTGAATGAGAAAGCAGAAGAAAGTGCCGTCTCAGGCTTGGCACACAGTAGGTGCTCAACTGAGGTGGGTTTTTTCAGAGAGGAAGGTGGGTATTTTGCAGCTGCAGCCATTGTAAAAATGGCGGGGAGAGGACTCCGCTCTCCTCCCTCCCCAGCCCCTGCACTAGAGGGTGGGAGTGGGGGGGCTGCCAGGTGTGACACCGCTGGGGAGAGACCAACACATGCTCTCCTCCCCACCTCACCAGGGCCCAGTCACCAGCCTCCCTTCCACGACCGCCCCCACCTCCATCTAGCGACGGCTTGGGTGTTCTCATCCCAGGCTCCAGGCTGTCTGCCGCCACTGGCATCTGATGGGACTCCAATTCATTATTTATTTCCTCATACCGTGCCTTTTCCACAAGCATTTCAAGCAATGCTGACTGGACGAGGAAAGTGAATGAATGGTTTCCGAGCACTTGCAGTACAGCAGGCAGCTAGCAAGAGGGCATCTCCGTCCTCAGAGTGGGCCCCATTTTACAGATGAGAGAAACTGAGGCTCAGAGAGGTTAACCGGCTTTCGCAGCCAGGGTCTCAGAGCTGGGATCGGAGCCCAGAGATGTTTACTCCAGAGCCTGCAGTCTTCCCCCCGGTGCGGGCGGGGGGGTGGTGCTTCTACATTGCACACTATGGAAAAGTAAGTGGAGGCGGAGGGGCGAGGCCTGGACAGCGTTAGTGCTGCCGGAACAACAGAGGGATTCAGCCCTCTAGTCAGTGTGGTTGGAACACATCCTTTCCATATTATAAGAAATTAAGAGCCGTAATTAAAATGTGAGAGAAATACACACAGACACCCTTCTTTTCAAGGTAGACAAGCTGACTTCATTCTCTCCACAGTAGGAGGCCAGGAAGCTGGCAGAGCCACCGGGAGGAAGTCTCTGCTGAAGAACAAAGGGGCATTATTGATGACTTCTGGTCAAAGCAAAGTACTGTGCTCCTCTCAGACTCACTGGGGCCTGGATATCGAATTGTCCTTGTTTTCATTTCTGGAGCTGGGGCTGCTGACCAGAGTAGAGTTGCCTGTGCTGGCTGTGGTGGCCTTTCCTGGCTCAGTGTCCCTGCTCCTTCATCACCACCACACACACACCCACAGGTTGTCCCCCTGCCTCGGGGCCTGGTTGTGAGGTACAAGAGTATGGCAGTAGTGAGGGACCAAGGGAGCAGGCATTCAAGGGTGCATGTGTGACAGGGACACTCCTGTTCAATCTCACAGCAGTCCTGAGGGGTGAGGAGTAGCCTTCCCATTTTTAAAAGTAAGGAACTCAGGCACCGGGAGCTGGGGTGATGTAAGGGCTCGCTACACCATCCTGAGTCTCCTCCTCCACACCCTTGCTCCTGGCTGACGCCCGAGAGTGGGCAACCTTTGCCCCGGCCTTGGGCGTGGAATTCTGCTCTCCCCTGAAAAGTCATTCATTCATTCGTTCATTCTTGCACTCACTCACCCACTCCTCATTCATTCTTTCTCACCTAATCACTCCTTGACTTACTCAGTGAACGTGTACTGAGTGCCTGCTGTGTGTCAGGTACCTCTGCTGTCTTCTCTCCCCTGGGCACTTGGGAAAACAAGAGTTGAAGCAGTAGGGTTGAGGTGGGGCGTAGGGAGACATGAGGAGTCCCTGACTGGCCAAAGTAAGGAAAGAACCTCTGGCCTAGGTGCTTTGCCCCCAAGGGATGTTCTTTGTCACGGACGTTCTTGGCGCTTACCGGAGGAAGTACCTGTCCAGGCCTCAGTTACCCCATCTGTAGAGTGGGCCCTTGGAGTGCTTGGGGCCTGGGCAACTGCCAAGAAGCTGCTGATGGTGCCTGGGACACCCTTGCTGTCCTGTCTGTCTGTGAATTGACTTGTCCTCTGATTAAAGAGCCAGGTAGAAAATGGAAGTCGGACCCACAGGCCTGCTCTGGGGAGTAAGTGATATTTTACCCTTTGTTCTTTTTAGAGTGGGTCTCAGAGAAGTTTAGAGAATCTCAGATCTTAGCAACAAGGTTGGAGCCTTCCGGTCAACTGAAAGATGGGGTCGGGTATCAGTTACTGAGCACCTGCTAGGTGCCCGGCGCTCGGAGGCATTTCCCGCAGCGTGACGATTGGCAAGGTAGGGGTCGTTTTCCCATTTTCTAGATGAAGAAACTGAGACCCAGAAAGGCTCTCCCATGGCTGGAGTTAGTCAGTGACAGCCACCACTCAGCCTCCACAGGCCAAGCTCTTTCTGTTGCCACAGCAGGTTAGGCCCCGGTGGACTCCTCAGTGCTCCCCTCACCCCACTCTGCCTGAGTCCAGAGTGTACAGTGAGGAGGTCCATGGCTCTTAGCCTCTCTGCCCCATGGAGGCCTGGTTCCCCTAGCGCTTCTGCCTGCAGAGCAGCAGGCCTTGGAAACTACATGTCGTGGGCATGAATTGCTTTATTTTCATTTTTATTCATTTGTGTTCATCTTGGGCCCCGTCCCCACAGGTCAGGGATATGCCAAGTCAGTGTCCTCCCTTCTGCCAGCCCCTTCCTCAGTCTGTTCTTGAGATCCACTTCAGCCTCCTGACATCTGTGGTTGGTCATTTTTTCCCCACATCAGCCAAGGAATCACAAATGTGGTGAAGCCTGTTATCTTGCCATCACCAGTGCAGGGCCTGACTCCAGAGACAAACACACCATCTGGTGCAGCCTCATGGCTATGTTTTATTTCCCTATGTTTCAGACATAGGAACTGTGGCCTTCTCAGGACGAGGGAGGGCCGTGACTGACCACTTCCTTGGACAAGTCCAGATGTGGTCACCTCCTGGTGGGGGGGTTTCTGTGGCCATCCATGTGTCAGAATCCAGGGAGCACCACAGCCTGAGAGCACCCCAGGAACCTCTCCTCACGATGCCCGCTTCACCTCACACCAATCACCACCTGGGGACACGAGCGTGTCAGGGACACCCAAACAGGCGAAAGGCAAAATGATGAAAGCAGGGGGCCATGGCAGCAGCAGGCAGACTGCTAGATTTCTCTCAGCTTTTGAGGGGCCCCCCTGAATGTGCCAGAATTCCCCCCCTCAGTTGACTGGTGACCAGCACGTTCCACAGATGTAGGGTGATAGGGCACAGGCGGCTGAGCTGGGAACTATCAGTAGGTACACGGGGAGCTCACTGCAGGCCCTCCTGAGATCCAGGCCGACAGAGACTCACTCGGGGACAGGGTCTGCTGCTTAGTGGTCCATGCTCCCAGGGCCTCAGTTTCCCCACAGCTGTGTGTTTCTTGTGTACATCAATACACATGTTGTTGCCTCCTGCTCTGGGCCAGCCCAGTGAAAGGAGGCTTCAGACTGGGTGCCAGGTGTATGTGAATCATAGGCACACTCGGGTTCTGGAGTGTGCAGATGAATATAGATGTGTGTGTGTGGTTATTTTTTATTTTTTATTATTTGCTTCATTGTACTTAAGTCACATTTTCCTATCCTCTGATCCAAGCTCTAAAAGCATTTTGTGGTGTAAAATCTCCCATCATCTGATCCACTCTACCGAAATAAGTCAGCTTCCCTGCCGTCATCTTCCTTGAAAAGGGCCCCTGCGTCATGCTCCTAGGCTGGCAGGGAGAGGCCGTGCCTGGTGAAAACACTTCATAATAATCTCCCCAGCGCCCCCCGTCCTCTTCCTTCCCTGGGGGGCTGCTCTGGTTTCTTGGGCTGTTATTACTGGAATGCCAGCTGCTCCACTTACAGCCCTCCGTACAGACCTGCTCTGTCTGTCTTGGGCCTCACAGGCCTCCACTTAGCTCATCTCTTGGAAATATCATTTTAAAAATAAACGCCTGTTCAATTCGCACTTCCCTCTTGCCTCCCCTGTGTCTCCCGGCCTCCTCCACGTGGCGCCAGAGGATCCATTAAGGCACTGCCATCTCCCAGAGCCCTCCAGTGGTCGAGTGTTAGTGACTGGCCAGCTACCCAGCGGTGCCTTCAGGGTGGCCTCGGGGGCCCTCTGGGGCTGTCCAACTTGGCTTCTCCTGAGTCCTGTGGTCATTTAAGTGTCGCTTAAATGTGGCATGGGAGAAAGAGTGAGAGCTCTGGAAGTGGACAGACTTGGCTCTGCCACACACTTACTATATGACATTGGACAAATTATTTCCCTCTCTGGGCCCCATGGGTACGTGAGTGAAGAGGTGCCTCCCTCCTAGGCATACAGGGTGATGGGTGTTATTGGTTCTTATGAATGGCATAAAGTATGTTCTCAAGGGGAAAAATACATTTAAAGTTTCCTTGCAGGGGCTGGCCTGTGGTGGCATAGCGGTTAAGTTTGTGCACTCTGCTTCGGCGGTCCGGGGTTCACAGGTTCAGATCGCAGGCATGGACCGACGCACCGCTTGTCAAGCCATGCTGTGGCGGCGTCCCATATAAAGTAGAGGAAGATGGGTACGATGTTAGGTCAGGGCCGGTCTTCCTCAGCAAAAAAAAAAAAAAAAAAAGTTTCCTTGCAAATCTTCTGTGAACTTCTTTTATCTTCTATCATCCATAATTTGCTTTTTTTATAGCACCAGGAAGCCAACTGATAGGTAGACCAGAAATTTTTTTTTTTTGTGAGGAAGATCAGCCCTGAGGTAACATCCATGCTAATCCTCCTCCTTTTGCTGAGGAAGACCGGCCCTGAGCTAACATCTATTACCAATCCTCCTCCTTTTTTTTTTCCCCCAAAGCCCCAGTAGATAGTTGTATGTCATAGTTGCACGTCCTTCTGGCTGCTGTATGTGGGAAGCGGCCTCAGCATGGCCGGAGAAGCGGTGCGTCAGTGCGCGCCTGGGATGCGAACCCGGGCCGCCAGCAGCGGAGCGCACGCACTTAACCACTAAGCCACGGGGCCGGCCCAGACCAGAAATTTTTGAGTAAAACATAGCATTATTTTTGTCCATCACGAGTGGAGTTCTGACGACTTCAAGGTAAAGTGAGCACTTCAGTTCAGCGGGGCGCTTCATGCCTGAGAAGCAGCAAGTGTCACATTAAGAGTGCAGACTCCCAAGTTTTGAACCCCAGTTCAGCCACTAATCACTGTGGCATTGGACAACCGATTCAGTGTCTCTGCCTCAGTTTCCCTGGCTGTAAAATCAGCATAAGAGTAGTACTGACCTCCTGGGGTTGGCCTGGGGATGGTGAGGTGGGAGGCGGGAAGCACTTCAGACCGTGCCTGGCACAGGAAGGTGCTGTGTGAGCGCTGTCCGTCTGTTGTGGGCATTATGTTGTTATGTGGCAGGAGGTTAGGAAGTACGGACACACAGGTGGCGTTCGTTATCATCCCACTGCTACAGCAGTTCTTGATTGGGGACAGTTTTGACAATGTTTGGAGACAGTTTGGTTGTCACAACAGAGAGGAGAGGGTACTGTTGGCATCTGATGGTAAAGGCCCAGATGCTGCTAAATGTCCTTCAATGCACAGGACAGCCCCCACAGCAAAGAATTATCTGGTCCCAAAAGTAAATAGTGTGATACCGTAAGGAACTCTGCCCTAATATAAGCTTTCTGGTGGCACCGTAGGCCCATCTGTCATCTGTAGCACTTGCCTGGGTTCTGTTTTGCATTTATTGGTATGATTATTTGATTACTACCCATCCCACTGATACAACGCTCAGGCTTCTGAGCGTGAGAGATTTATTTCTTGCTCCGGGCCATCCAGGCCAGCGCTGCCTAGTCAGCCCGCCCCAGATCTCAGTCAAGGCAGCACTGGGCCTGGACCTGTCAGACCCAAGTTCAGGTTCCTGGCTGTATGACCTTGGGCCAGTGGTGCTGCCTTTCTGAACCTCCATTCCTTCGTCTGAAAATGGGATTATGAATATCTGATAAATTTAGAGTAGAAGTTAAGACCGCAGGCTCCAGGGTCAAGACACACCTGAATTCAGGTGACAGCTCTGCTACTTACTGTGTGAACTTAGTTACCTAACTAAGCCTCAGTTTTCTCATCTGTGAAATGGGTCTAATAATCCCCTTCCTCATTCAGAGAGTTAATATGGGAATTAAAGGAGTTGATGATTACTATGATTATTATTAAATTCGTCATCCAACAAATGGGTTTTTTTGAGCCCTAAGTATGTTCCAGACCCCAATGGTTATCATGTGGTGGGCATAATGGGGCAGAGCATCTGTACTTGCTGAGCTCATCATCTCTGAGCTCATCATCTCATGATTTAGGAGGGGTCTGGCCTGGCACTCGCTCCAGTGCTGACCTCTGACCTTCCCCCCTTTCAGATCTGTGCCATCATTGGTGGGACCTTCACTGTTGCCGGCATTCTGGACTCATGTATCTTCACAGCCTCAGAGGCCTGGAAGAAGATTCAGCTGGGCAAGATGCATTGACAACCCGCCCAGCCCCATGGCCGAGAACCCAGGGAGACCGCCAGCCCTGCCTCCAGCGCCCTGTCCCCTCCTGCCCTCTATCTGGCCGAGGATCTGGCTGTGTCCCAAAGTGGTGGTGTAGGAGGTGGGGGTGGCTCATGGTTTCGCAGCTACCTCTTTTCCCCGAGTTTAATTTTAGACGAATTACGCTGCCTGAAGTAGTGGTGCCCCTTTCTCTGTAGAGCCCCAAGATCAGAGTCAGGCAAGGGGGGCTCAGGGATATTGGGGACCACTCCTGAGGGCTGCAGTCCCTTTCCTCTTAGGAGAACAGCCCAGAATCTACGTTGACCAGCTCTCAGCCAGCCTCTGACAATCTCGAAGCCCCCACCACTTGGACACACTAATCGCTTGGCTTCTCCCCTGGCACAGCCAACCCACAGACCTGGGCTCTCGGCTTTGGACCAGGCTGTCCAAAGGTACCTCCCGCCTGGCGCCTTCAACACAAGATGGTACTTCCCAGGCAAGGCCCTGAGATGTGGCGCTGTAGATGGAACCCTCACTCCCGCTCCAACCCTTCCTGCCTGACCTCGAGTCCAGGCCTCAAGTCCCTTACCCCCATCCCTTTCTTTTTCTCCCAAGAAGCAGATGCCCAGTTGTTGGGCAGCAGCGGCGGAGACTCAAGTCTGCCCACTGGTCAGTGGGCGGGTGGCAAGTTCCCTTCCTCTCTCACCTTGCTTCTTTAACCCTGTGCCAATGTGCCTCGGCCCCTGTGCTGTGTGGCAACAGCATCTCTTAGGGGAGGGGCTGGTTGTGACTGGGAAGTCATCCTTTGAGAAGCAGACGTGGTTTGTGCACTTATGTCCAGATGGGAAGCATCCTTCTCTGCAACCCTAAAATAATCAGGTCTCGGCCTCTCCCAGACGGCCACCGTCAGTCCCAAGGCCTTAGGTGGGGGAAGCAAAGCAGATCAGCCCATCTCCCGGCTGTGGACGTCCACATTCCGGGCTCCCAGGGGTGCACAGCACTGGGACCTCTCTGCAGCTCAGTTGTAGCCCACTTGCCACTGAGCTGACCCACTGGCTGGCCACACACCAACATGATCCTTGTCCCTGGGCGGCCCCACTGTCTCCCCACGTGCTCCTGGCGTGGGTCCCTACCCCACTGCTCCCCTTCATCCTTCCCCTTTAGTCCTGAAAGGGAGCAGCAATGGTCCAGGCACTAATTCCACGCAGGGAATTTTAGGTATGCCCTCCTCTCCCAGGGAAAGAGCTGCCCGCCTGTTTTCCATTTATATCAAGATTGTTTGCATACTTTTGTAATTAAGGGGAGTGTCCAGTGGAAGGAGTTTTTAAATTATCTTTATGGATAGCTCAAGTCTCTGCCATTTGTAATGTTGGGCTCAGAATTCCAATTAGAAAAGCTTCCCCTTTTGCATATGAGTTGACTGATGTTGTGAATGTAAACTGCATTTGGTTATTTCTGGTATCTGTGGCCAGTGAATGGATTTTTTTTACGTTCTGTTCCCCAGTTACAGAAGGAGTCCTTTTGGTGTGTGAATACGTGAGCCTGTAGAGGGTGGGCAGGGCGGGGTGGGGAGATGTGTGGCATGCACATGAGCTGAAATTCCACTTTTATGCATTTTTTAAAAAAACTCTTGCGGACATATGGGATGTCGGTTTCCTCTGAGACACCTCTGACCCGTTCTTTTAAACAAAATCTCCAGGGAACAAAATGTTTTAGCTCTTTCCCCACTCGTTGGTTTCAAATAGATTAAAAGGCTGATTTTCAGAAATACTGCTGTGTGTTTCTTTCTACTTGATTGTGGCTGAGTAGCCTGGAGTCACAGTCGGCCTGGGATTTAATTCCAGAGGAGAGAATTGGGAAATGTGGAAAAAAATCTGTGAGGAGGATCCGAAAGTCAAGACCCTTTGGATGCAGCCCTTCCTTTACTGAATCCCTACTGAATGTTCTGGATCTGCCATTTTCGAGCTGTGCAGCCTCAGGCCAGGTCCTTCTCAGTGCCTCAGTTTCCTCTGGTGAAAATGGGGATAGTAATAACCTCATAGGGCTGTTGCGGAAATTAAATCTATAATATGCAAGTAAATCATACTGGATCAGAATGAGCTCACATGTGCAGGAAAGCGGTACATGGTAAATTTTCAAAAATGGTACTTGTGCCGTAGAATCCCCCAACAGAATATAATCTCCTTGAGAACAGTGCTAACCTCTTCTCGCAGCTTTGAGCTAAGGGCTGCATCAGTGAAAGGTATTTCATAAATTCTTGATTCCCAGGGATCTGGCATTCCTTTTTCAACCCTAAGCTCCGCAAAAGCAGATCAGCAGCAGCTATGAGAAAGGGGCTTAACGGATACTTGCCCTCCTGCTGTGCAGTCCTTCGAGGCCTTCCCCCGGAAGAGCACGAACGTGGATAAACACATCAGAGATGAATGTGGGAGCAAACAGTCTGCCAGAAACTTGTCATTGACCTTCCCCATTCTCTTTTGAACATCCTGTCTGATACCTGAGTTATTGTGACACTCAAAGCTAGTGGTCAAGAGGAATATGCCTACCAGGCAGTCAGTTACGTGGGTTCCCAAACCTGGTTATGCCAGCTGTGCTTTATGGTGTACTGATGTGACTTAGTTAACCAATAAATATGATTGGAAAATGAAAGGAGCTACTAAAACTAAGTTGAATACTTTGGAGAGACCTGATAAAAGTGAGTTGCCACCCCCTCCTCAAAATGCTACTGAATCAGATGTGAACAAGACCCCCGAAAAGATTTAGGGGGCAGGGGAAGTCCTTGAGGATTCTGCATTCACATTAAAAGCGTCTAAGTTCTCACTCCAAGTTAAAGAAACCAGAAATTGGAACTCTTGGGTTGGTTTATTTAAGGACATGGTTTATATGAGGAAAATGAAGGAGACCTCCAATGCAGGTTTCTCACTGAAAAAGCCTTGCTTCAGATTCAGAAGACTGGCGAATGTTTTAAGTTGACGTAAAACATTTCTGTATGTGTCATTTTTTTTATTTCTTCCTTAAACTATTTCTTTCAGTTATCTAACCAAGTGCAGATTACAGTGTTTTCCTGTAAGAGGATTTCCCAGTCAGGGACTACAGCACAAACCCATAGAGGCGTGGGTGATAGGTTAGGGCTGTGGTGGTTCAGGCGGAAATGGCTCCTCCTGAGGATGTTGCAGATGCAGGAGAGGTGGAGTTACAGAGGGGCGTCAGTGAAGAGTTAAGCTCAAGGGCTTTGGCCCACGTGGCCTGGGTGGGTATCGCAGAGCAGGTGTGAACCTTGGGAAGAAGTGGGGTGCAGCAATGGGGCTCATAAGTGGCAGCTGTAGTTAGTTTTTATTACTGTATGTCACAAATTAGTTTTTGATTCTTGCCAGAAACAAAGATAGACGTTTTCTCAATGGGGCAGGCCACCGGTGGTCCTAATCCCTTCTTAAGAAACTGGTTCATTAGCTGCTGCAGCAGATAGATGCAGCGGTCCAGGAATGTGAGAGGGGGCCATGTGGAGGAGAACATCCACCCAAGACCCTTTTCCCTCCCTAGCAGTTGTCTTCTGTCAGTCATGGAGTGATGAGGTTACGCACTTTATTCTGACCAAAATAAATTATTTTTGTCTTAACTCTTGCAGTAATAGGCACCATTGGTTGGGCGTTCTCCACGTACCAGGCAAAGAGATTGTTTAGGCCTGGTCTTTCTTAATCCTCACAGCCATCCTACGAGAGGGGTGTGACCTCCTTTTTAGGAATGAGAATACAGAAACTTAGTAACTTGTCTCCATCACACAGCCAGCAGGTGGTAAAGTTGGAATTCAAACCCACGGCCGCCTAACTCCGGGGTTACGAAGAATTGTGTGGTTCCCCCTCATCTCCAAGATCCTCTTATCTGTGTCAAAAGGGAAAACTGACCCCCCCCCAAAAAAAGGGAAAATTGAAAGTAGTGTGAGTACTTTTGTTTTCTTCCTTTAAACAGCCTGCAGAGGAAAGCTATAAATTGAACATTGGGGATCTTCTTAAACAAGAATTTAAAACCCTTAAAACATGACTTTAATTACGCAAATAATATATGCTCATAGCCCCATTGGAGGAAAATCAGAAAAGAGCAAAAGGGAAAATTAAAGTCACCCATAATTCCACTAATCTGAGATAATCATTATTAACATTTTGGTGACATCATTCCATATTCAAAATGGGATCATGCTGTTACTATTATTTTTGCAAGTTACTTTTTTCCTCACTTAATAGACACCTTTCTATCTTAATGATTATGGATCTCGTCATTATTTCAATATTGTCGTATCAGCTGCAAGATAACAATAACCATATTGAGTATCTAATAGTGGATCATGTTCATATTCTGCTCCCATCTCATTCTGTTTTCTCACCTGTAAAGGGGACAATTCAGAGGGTTGTTTACCAGATTAAATGAGGTAATGCTTGTAAAGCTATTAGCACAATGCCTGACTAAATGCTCAGCCTCACAAGATTAGCCATTATTATTCATTCATTTAATAAAAAATGTCTACCATTTATTAAGTGCCTACTTTGTGCCAGACATTGTGCTAAGGGTTCATTTAATCCTGACACCAAACTGATGCAGTAAGTACTATCATTATTCCCATTTCTCAGATGAGGAAAGTGAGTGACCATGAGGCTAAATATCTTATCGAAAGCTATGAGCCAGGAAGTGATGCAGATCCAAACCCAGTCAGTCGGAATCCAGGGCTCACATACTTCCCCACCACATCACCCTCTGCCTCAGAGACATAAAAACATTTCCTGGGCATTTCCTCTTTGCCAGCCACTGTGCTAGGTCCCCAGGCTTCTATCCCAGTCTCTGTGCATGTTTCTAAGGGCCAATCCCACTAAGTCCTCATTAGAGTGACAGAGCCTCAGGCATCTTACCTGATGTCATTGCACCTGTCTTAATTCTACTGAGCCACACTGGGGATAAAGAAATGCCTCCCCGCCCTGGTTGATCATGAATACACCTTGATGATCTTGGGTTGTCATGATCTGTCCTCATATGGTTGCCCTTCACAGTGAGGCTCTGTGCTCCTTGAGAGCAGGGACCAGATCTCACTCCCCCCCAGATCTCTGATCTAGCCCTGTACCTGTGGTGCCAAGTAGGTACCAAATAAATGATGATTAACTTAATGAGCAATGCATGGATGTGTTGTGTGAATGAGTTAATCAATGAGCGTGACAGAGAAGTGAATGAATGAACAGAGAAGGAGCCAGTGAGTGAGTGAGTGGATGAATGCTTGAACGAACGAACTTATCAGGGGCTTGGGTCTGATGAACACTGCAAGGGCTGCTCTGA